GACAGTGCTGTCCAGTTCAACAACGTGCCAACAAAAGCGAAATACTCGACCTTTTGATCAAGAGAAGCCATCTGTGGCAACACTTCAAGACTTATTCGCTCGAAAAGAACATGCGCGTTGATCCCGAAGAAGAAGAATTCGCGAAATACCTGCTAAAGCTCGGCGACGGGGAACTCGAAGTGAATGAACTCGGCGAAATAGAAGTCCCAGAAGAAATTCGCTCTGGTGGTAACCTCATCGATGAAATCTTCGGACCATGCCTCAGAAGTGGGAACTACGAAGCAATGAAGAATCGCGCTATTCTTGCACCATTGAACGACGATAAGGACAAGATCAACGAGCAGATTATCGCTATGCTTCCAGGCGAAGAGAAGACATACACAAGTTTCGACTCGGTAAAGGATCAACATGAAGGGGGAATTCAATTCGCGCCTGAATTCCTGAACTCGATCAACATCGCCGACTTGCCTCCACACAATCTGAAGCTCAAGAAGAACGCCATCATCATGCTTCTCCGAAACTTGGACGTCTCTGAAGGAATGTGCAACGGAACACGATTGATTGTCACCGAACTTTGCAACAACATCATCAAGGCTAAGATCATCACCGGTGAACACGCAGGCCGACAAGTACACCTTCCAAGGATCACGCTCGACTCCAGCAAATCACAGCTTGGCGCAACTATGCAACGGCACCAATTCCCAGTTACTCCAGCATTCGCCATTACGATACACAAGTCACAAGGCCAAACATTCGAATTCGTCGGCGTGCTTCTCCTCACGACGGTCTTCGTGCACGGAATGCTCTACGTCGCGTTTTCAAGAGTCAAGCGTCAAAGTGCGTTGAAGGTCCTGCTGCCTCCTGAGAATCCAACCCACACCCGAAACGTCGTATGGAAGGAAGTCCTGAACAAGAGAAACTCACCAGCCGCACCTGCCTCTCCGACAAGAAACTACCTGGACAACATGGAAGACTTCGCAATCGATGATTAATGTTTATTATGTTTATGCTGTTATAGGTTTATAATATGTTTCTTATGTATGTATATATGTTTGGTTTTTCTAAATAAATTTGTCAAAAATATTGAACTTCAACACACTTCAATCTTTACACTGCTCACTTTGTACCATTTCTTTAATTGTATAATTTTTTGTTATCAATTACATTTTATTTCCTATGACTTTTCAAACTTTACCTTTGTATAGAATAGTTCCCTTTCCAAACTTTGTTTAGATAGTTTACAATGGTGCACTTTAACCGGTTATCTTTTCACCAATGGTTTCACAAATTTTCTTAAGGCATGTATTGTTTTGATAAATCACAATTGAAAATTTAAATCTTCGAGTTAGCTTCGATACCTGTTTTCTCCGAGCGGAGCTCGGTCACCCGCTGGTAATAATAAAATAAAAACTTTGAAAGTTTTTCAAGTTGACTAAAAACGAGAATTTTTTTAAATATTTTTTGTCAGATCTAAAATAAAAAACGTAAGAAGCATCACTTTTGTAATAAACAACCCGAAACACGAATGGATCGTATTTTCGACGTTTTTAGGAAGTGATGTGCTTCACATTTTTCGGTTGTAAGATTGACGGGAAAAAATTTTTTTTTTCTTAGTCTGTTTCAAAAACGAGGCTTTTTAAAAGTTTTATTTTTTTACTTAAATCCAGTTACGTTATTTCCTTCTTTAGTTTTTTCTGTCATTTGGTTATACCAGAGAGTTGCCGAAATAGCATTTAAAGATTTCAAACTAATATTTATGTAAAAAACATAAAAGCGAGGAAAAACATAAAGGCTATCGAAATTCAAAATATCACACTTAAAGATTATTAGAAATTTGAAGGTTAACTAACTAATATTTGTTTTTAACTGCTGTTGTTTTATTAGCTATCATATTTTAATGCTTCGTAGATTTTTACTTTTCCTCGCTAATTAGCAAAAAATTTAAGTGTAGATCCAGTGGAATGTACTTATATTTTATCTATTTCAGTTGATTTGTCGTCATGGTCATGATACATTGTTTTCAAAAGGATTCAGCATCAGCTTATTTGGACGTCTTCTGGATGAACCAGAAATTAACGAAGTTGCCAAAGAGAGAATGCCTGATTCACCCAAGGCAACTATTTGGAGTGACCTAAAATTTATAAAGGTAGCATTAAATTTATTAAAATTGTCGAAGATTTCTTTTATAAAGATGCAAAGATTGCAATCATATACAGGGCTGCCAACTTTCTACGCCTTTTGTAAAAAATTATTCCAGTGGTTGCTTAGTTAATGTTTTAATCTATCATTTTCCATTCACTAAAACTTATTTTCCACTACATAGAAATGATTACGAAGTTCATATGCAAAACCACTTTGTTCGACGTCTGACGTGGCTCTTAAAATTTTAGTTAAATTACCAAAAATTCTGAAAACTTTAGTTTTTAAATGTCTATCACTCTATTAAATATTTCATAAAAAGCGTAGTAGTTGGCAAGGCTGCATATAAAGTGGTACAAATTAAAGTTACTAATGCTGCAATTTCCTCATTATTTTTCAATTTTTGTTCACGTTTAAAAACGTGTTAAAACAGTTTTCAACATATATCACGCAGCTCTCAGTTAACAGTACTTGCCCCAGACAGAATGTCCACCATTGGAATCTCTTTTAGTGGCTCTATTAGATACTGCTTTTTAAAAAAAAACTAATTCCGATTTACCAGTATCGGATTCCTTAGAGTAATAGTATCGTATACAGTGGTTAAACAAATGTATGGAGGAGCTTCTATACTAATTCTATGAATTTTTTTAAATTTTTATTAGCAGCAAGTGTTTTTGAAGGTTTTACGTGGGCAAAACTAATGACACAGTTTGAAAGATTATGCTTGTAGCTTTTAGAAATGCTGTATTTTTTACCCATGCAAGATTCAGGTCAACCAAAATGAGGAGAGGAAGATAATAAATAACCTCTTGCTAGTTTTAATACCGCTATAAATTTTAAGACAATTCCAAGTAAATATCGTAATCCTGTAGCGTAATTTCAAATTTGAAGGTTTTAGAGCTAAAAATTAAGTTATTAACTTCCTCTACTCATTTTGCTCGATCCGAACTTTATATGGTTAAAAAGAATCATGATTTTTTAAATTGTGCGAACAGTTTTTCCCGGTAAAGTCCCCAAAAACATTTGCTGGTAATTTTTTTTTTAAATAGAGTTAGCAAAGAAGTGTTTCTATATTTTTGCTCAACTCCTGTATGATCTAATAGATTATAAAATTCGATAGTTGCGACATTTCAAATCTAAAGAGTATTAGTTAACACTTGAAAATATCAAATTACTCTATAAGCACTAATATTCTAGCACTTTGCATTTTAGTTTTGGGTTCCTAATGGTTTGAGGAATTAAATAAAGTGGTATCAATATTCCTGTTATGAAATCAACTTGCAACACGTTGCAAGCGTCCTAGTCCTAGTGTTTAGGTTTTATTGGGCACCTGGGGCGCGAAGCGGCCCCTATCCCATTCATCTGGAATTTTTGAACAGTTTTGGTTGAGCAATGAGGTAAGCAGGCAATGGAGTTGCTTTTATGAATGTTTCAAGCTCTTTGCTTGAATAACTAAAAAGGAATCAAAAATAAATTGAGCAGCTTGCTCTAAACTGTGTTTGTTTGATTTTGGAGTTGTTCAGAATTGTATCAGCATGAGTAAACGTTATTTTCAGAAAGGTTGATGAAATTATTTGTTTTGATAGTTATGATATGAGGCGTCGGAGGTGAAATGTGCAGCTATTGGTCTGTAGTTTTTATCTTTGATATAATTTTCAAATTTAAAGATTTCATTAAAATTTGCTGTTTTACATTCTATGGCTTTATCGAAAAAATCTGCGTTTAGCTTGTATATATGCTGTGATAGAGTTGGTATTTTGAGGTCTGCATGTATATTGGTATTCCGGATGAACCATCTTGCACAGGTTATTTTTCTAAGGATCTTGTTTTGGCATTGGTTTAATTTCTTCAGTAGATGTTGAGGTATCGTTGTCCAGGCAGGTGAGGCATAGGTAAGTATTGGGCGGATCATTGCTGTATATAGTAGCTTCTTTAGTTTAAGTGACATATTCTGATTATATATTAATGGTTGTATGGCTATTATTGCTGCATTTTGGATTAATATTGTGCTTTTGATGTGATCATTCCAGGTGAGTTTGCTATTGATTATAAGGCCAAGATAATTTGCTTTTTTAACTATTGGTATTGGTATGTTGAACATTTTTGGTTGAAGTTGTGGAAGTATTTTAATTCTTCTTTTTTGTATAATTAATATTTGTGATTTTCCAGCATTTACTGCAGTTTTCCATTTTAAGCACCAGTCTTCTATTTCGTCTATATGGTCTTGTAGTTTTTGAAGAGCATGATTTGGGTTTCTGGATTTAATAATAATACCGGTATCGTCTGTGTAATAGGCTGTTATGCTGTTATAATCGGCTTTGTTTATAGGAAAATCATAATTGTATAATATGTATAATATCGGTCCCAGAATGCTGCCCTGTGGTACTCCGGCTGTGATGTTTCTCTTTGTCGTTGCAAGCGGGTCACGTAGGAATACTTTTTAGACATTTCTGCCATCCACGAAAGTGGTAGCAAAAGTGCTTCGTTTCAAAAGAAATTATTCATTCGTGATTACCACAAACATAAATTATTTAGTACATATGTAATCAGTTCTATAATCACTCTTCGTAATTTTTTTAAATTGAAGTTGTAGCTATAGTAACAAATTTGTTCCAACTTTTATGAAATCATACAAACCACTTTTTTAAAACTTTAAGCTATAACAGCTGTAATCTATTTTTTGGATAAGTTTCTCGCATGCAATGTGTTAAGAAACTTTCATGATTATTGTAGTAAATCTTAAACTCAAATGTATAAGTAGAAATCTAACATTTAACCTCTTTGAGACGAGTGAATCATATATGCATTCTCAGGGTGTTGATAATCACGGTAAAAAGGTAAAACTGGTAGTTAAACTATTTTTATAGCAGTTTATTTGTAGGTGTGGTAATGATAGTTTGCTTTATTTCATCGCTGCTTAATTAGAATTAAAATTGTATAGTTACATTTTTAACACACTGGGATAGGATTTCCCTGCATTGACTATCAATCTACATTAAAAGCCACGCATAGTTTTTTTACTTTATAACCGCCATTGAACAGCTGACCCAATTTTACGGGTTTACGGCTACTAATGTTCAACTCCGTAACCTTGTAATTTTGAACCCAATCCAGAAGACAAGGGAACTCCTGGATCAAGTATTGGGAGAAATTTGCCTTCGTGGAGGACTTTTTGATGAAGCTAACCCGCATTTGCGTTACATGGAGAGGAAGACCACGACAACATCCCACGGTTAGCCTCATGGCTAGGGAACTCAAACCCATGATCCATCTACCACTGAGGATATTTCCCGTCAGCACTGTGGTCGGTGCAAGACGGATGTGGAATTCGTATCGACTGGGATTCGAACCCGGTTCACCGCATTGGAAGGCGAACGCTCTATCCCCTAAGCCTGCTTCTTTTAATTTTCATTATTTAAATTTACTCAAGTAAGGTGCTTGAATCCTGTTAACAGCTACCACATAGACCGCTGACCACAAAGAGCCAATTCAAAAAAGAATAATACATGATGGATGGAATAGGGGGGACTCTGCGTGTCCCAGGTGCCCAGCTCTCAAATCAGGACAAGACAAGACTAGTATAGGATATGTTAGATACAAAGTAAAAGCAAAAATAAGTCTGTCAAATTAGCCATGCCCAAACTTCAGCTACCGCTTTTTATTTTTTTACTATCCTGATTCAGTACGAATACATTTCTGATTCGCCCGTCCAGGAAAGGTTAAGTATTTAAATTTAAGTGGTTGTTAAATCAGAAGAATTTTAACTGGCTTTAATGAGCAGTTTACTACCATTTAAGTATTTTTTCCGAACTAACAAGAGTTCTGCAATTATTGAGTAAAACTGATTTCGCAATCAGTTTCAACCATTTTACAAATCTAATTGCATTTTAAATCATTGATACAAAATTATCTAAAATCTGTTTTAAAAAAAAACTTATACTGCGGAAGATAAAATATTTTCTCAGTCATTTCAAGTAGATTTATTTTCCTTCTAAGAACGGATTATCTTTCCCTTTTTTTTAATTATTTTTTTCATTCTAACTATTTCTGTAGAATCTGTCATATTTTCCCCGCTTACTTTTGGCGTTATTTACCAATATCTTATTATAGGGTAAAAATATTGAGGCAGGATATTGTGTTTACTTAAATTATGTCCGATACGATCCGCATCGCTTGTGCTTTTTGTAATTCGTTACCACGCACATACTACGACGCTTTTCGAAAAATATTGTTTAGAATGGCAGACAATAAAAACTACAGCTTTTTGAATTTCGGTTAATTTCTGTCAATATTTTAAAAGACAGAGAGAAAATATAGATTTATTATCTGGATGCCTGAGGTTGTAATCGGCCAATTAACCATATGGAATTTAACATGGAGGTAGTAAGATAAAGTAATGAAAATACTTAAATATGTAAAATAAAGAGCTCACTTAATCTATGAGATTCCAAATACATGTCTGGCCAGTTTGAAGCTAATTTGGGGAAAAGACCATTACACAATGCCAACTTTCATCTACCTAAAGGTAACTCAAGATTGAATCAAGTTAGCATGTCTTATATACTAGTGAATAGTTGTTTAACCCTTTCGTGCCGACTGTCACAAATACGTGCCAGCATAAAACCGTATCAATTAGGGTAAAAAGATAAAACTGGTAACCAAAGTAGTTCTTTAGCAGTTTATTTGTAGGCGGGGCTATAATTGTTTGATTTATTTAATTCACCATTACTTTAATTCAAAATAAAATTATTTAGTTATACTTTGAACTAACATTGATTATATCTGTGAATAAACTAACAATAATTAAAGTAAAAGCAAAGTAAGTCTGCTAAATTAGCAACGACTACATTTAAGTTACCGTTTTTTATTTATTTACATCCTGATTTTGTACGAATGCTTTTATGAATCACCCGTCCCCAAGGGGTTAATAATCGCAGGGATGCCAATTGCTCCGCTTTCTGGAATAGTTTTAATAATATGATAGCAAATTATATAGTAAAATTCGTTAGAAACGGACAGTTATGCCTAGTTTTCAATAGAGTAACCAGTTGATTGATGCTTTAACGTTGCATTTTATATGATACTTATAATTTTTGATATTTAGTGGTAAAAAATTTCATAAAAGGAAAAATACTAAACTAAAAGTAACTTGAATTTCGCTACCACTAGAAAACACTAATTTACAAAGCGGAGCAAGTTGGCATCTCTGTAATCGCAGTGGTAGTGACGCCACACTGAGTAATGTCAAAAGAACGTCAGTGGATACGTGTAGCATACCTCGAGAGAATTGGAACAAAGTGGCTTTTAATATATGAGATTACATATCATTTACACGTAGTGGTATGGAAAATAACATTTGATCAAATTAATTAGAGAATCGTGCATTAAAATACACACTTTTCTATCGTAGGAATTTTTTTTTCTTCAACAGAATGAAGAAAGTTAGCAGTCTTAGTCTTGCACACATGATTAAACGTGAGATTGACTATCTTCAACTTAAGTCAATCTATACCACCGGAGAAACTTTTCATTTCAAACTCTGTTTCATCTCTATCGGTAATTTAAAATTTAAAGTATCGAAAAGAGTAAGTTAGTGAATTCAGAGTAAATTATTAAGTTCTTATTTTTTAAATTTTTATTTATTTATCAAAATACTCGACTGCAGACATTCTAGAGTCCTAGGAATGTAGAATTCCGAGCAAATATCCCAAATTCAAATATCACCACAACGGGATACTCTACAGTCCTAATGTTAAGTTCTGGATAAATGTCCCAACTTCAGAAATTACAACCACGGATCATTCTGAAATCCCAGGAATGTAGAATCCCGAGCAAATGTCTCCAATTAGGATATCACCATTACGGGAGACTCTAGAATCCTATGAAAGCGAAGCTTTATTCTTGGACCACACCTTTACCACAAATCTCTATGTACGAGTTAGTATTTGCAAAATTGCTATTGTTTTTTTTTATTGAAATTTATTTTTTTAGTCAAAATAAAAATGTATAGAATATTTCATTATTTCAGGATTTATTCTTTTACGATCGGAATGCTAAAAATGTCAAAAAGATTATTGACAACTACGAGTTTCCTTACCTAAAATGCAACACTGCGCAAGAAGCTTTTGATGCTCTCATGAAAGCAGCTACAGATTTGGAACAGGTAAATAATTAATAACTTTTCTTTGTACTAATAGTTTTATGCATTTAATTCTTTTATGTATACAGTTACAGTCCCGCAACAGACCGATGAGGACCAGGGGGTTAAGGCTCCACAATTTCGTGACTAATGGCATGATTATAGCAATGTGGTCAGCACTGCGCTCAGGCCGCCTTTACTTTCCAAAACAAGCTAGTACCTATCTATTTGACGTTTGGTGTGCTTCAAGCCGCTACTGGAGATCAAAACCCACTTCTTCACAATGATAGGTCTGTGCCCTAACCATTAAGCCATCGCAACTCTTTTTATATATGTATATATCATATATCCCACTAACACAGCAGCTTTAGTGAATACGTTTCAAAGTTCTTTTCAAAGTAAAACTAAAGTTTTTGAGAATGTGTTAGAAATTTATATCATTCGGAAGTTCAATAAAAAAGAGTTGACATTATTTTTTACGGAATTGTAAGAGTATGAATTTGTTAAAGAATAACAAGTTTACAATTTTGTATTTTAATGTTTTGATCCCACATTTACACCGTGGACGCTTCTTTTAAAATGCTAGGGAGTCCCCTGTTAGCTTCCGCTCACCAACCCCAATTATTGCTTGTCAATAATTTTGTTTCCTAGCATAAAACAGTTTTTTCTTCAAAAGTAGAAATTATTCACTCAAATTGTGTAAAAGTGGAAATTATTCACTCAAATTGTATCTTCTAGAAAGATTTCTGCTTGATTAGGCTAGTGCCTAAGCAAACATGTGCATGTTCCGTGTACATCATACATATGTTCCGAACTATTATGCATACCTGGCAGAATTTCAATACTTTTTGTGTAGCTGCGAACATGGCACATGACTTTATTTTTCCTCTTATGCATGTAATGAATGTTTTCAAAACATTTTTGTTTTATACATTTCTTAGACACATTACTTTTGTATTTTAGAGCGGTACTCATCACATGAATTGTACAGAGAATTCCTCTCACTGGAATGTAATTGTTTTTTCGATACTTTTCCAAGCGAAAGGCCGTAAGTACTCTTCGCTTCTATAATTTTAAGCATTAGGGGACCACCTGGACCACCATTTCATTTCTAGTACCTTCAATTTTAAAAGCTTACAGTGGTTTGAAAAAGTTATAGAGGGAACATAGCACTTTTTGATGTACACATACGCAATTAACACATTGCTGACCGGCAACTTTTCTATGGAACGGATGTGGAAGCAAATGAATACAAATAAACTTTAAAAATTTTTCTTTATTATTCAATTCTTAATATTTCTTTTTCGTATGATAAAAAGTATAACAATCACCTACGTATAATGGTACACTACGTGTTTTGCAAATATATCGGGTTTCGTACAGCTATAATAAATTAGTAGAGAATTAAATAGTAAAACTTGAAAAGCAAGGAAAATTACACCCACTTTTTAAAATAGTCACCACGAGATCACTGTTAATATGATTGCTATGACTCGTGACCGGTCACCGACGCTTGGCCACGAAAACACGAGTTCACTGGTGACAGGTCAGCAATGTGCTAACACATTCGAACGAATTATTTGAAGATTCAGGAAGTCATCTAACCTGCGAGTGTGAAAAACGGTGTTTTGAGAGGACATTATATAACACGCTGTCGCACACTTTTTACAGTGAACTTGATAGGTGCTGCACAGCAATCAGAAACGCAATTTTAAAAATTGTTTAAGACTGTCATGTGAAATTAAGCGTCAATCGTATGTTTGAAAGTGGAAAATACCATAATTTGTCTCTCGACTGCTGTGAACGTCGTTTGGTCATCACGACATTTTTTTTTCTTCCCAAACAAAATAATAATTGATAAGTAATTTGGAATATGTTATCATTTTCAGTATGTTGCCGAATAATTATCAAATAAATGCATTAGTGCTCTTCGTAAAAATGATGTTCATTTCTTTTTATCAATTAAAATTTGAAGAAACACGGTGTCTACAGGTCACGAAAATTTTCATGACCTTTTTTCCAAATTCAATGATTTTTAAAGATTTTTGAGCTTATTTTTAAGATACTTTCTTTCCAACGCATTTGATTTCATCAATAGGAATTAGTTTAAAAAAAGAATAGTAATTAATATATCTTTTGAAAAAGATTTTTGTTGGAGACAATAGGCATTCTGAAGACGACTATTATCGTTTTTAGCCTATATATTGCCATACTTTATACGGCCATAGCCGTCATTAGCTACAACATGTTAATCAACACTATTAATTTATTCAAGTGAAACAGATGAAGGTTATAGTGGTTATTACATTGGCGAATATGAAAAATGATATTTTGAGAAATTTAAAATTTGTTACAGCGCTGACTATTCCGTCTGTTTCTCATTTTTATGAACCCTGAGTTAAATTTTTACGACTATTTTATCATTAAATTGAAATAAGTAAAAATAAATTTTTCAAAATTTCTCAGACATAATCTACCTTTACTATAATAATTAATTAATAAAATTTGTTAGGGTTCGATACTGATGTATACAGTGATTTTGGGAGCATCTTAGCCTCTTCATCTCAAATAGAAAGTGCTGATGTACCTGCATCAGTTCAGGTGAGTACTTTTATTTTCCATAAGCAGACTTAAATGAAATGAAAAACTTTCTGTTAAAAAATACTCGTTACTATGACAATCGTACATTTTCGTAATTAATACAAAATCAGAAGCTCTATTTGAAAGTTTTAATATTATTTAGGATTGTTTCTGACTTCGAAAATTGCTTCTTCGTTAAATTCAACTTTTTTCCCCAAAAACTTTCTTTTCGATTCAAGTGTGAAAATATGTTAAGCCTAAGACATTTTTCCTGGGTTAAAATTACTTTCTTAAAACCGATGTTCTTCTTTTACAGTGAAAAATTTATTTAATTCGTAGATACTGACCTAGTTATAGAGAATATTTACAGAGAAATAAAAATTAGGTTAAGCTTAATTTGATTTCTTGAGCATTTAAAATCTTCATTGTTAACACATAGCATGCGTGCTACGTAAAAATATGCTTTTAAAGTTTCTGAGATCCATATAAAAGTTTAAAAAGTGGTTGCAAAACTACTTCGATTCAGCTCTGTTTTCCAAAAAAATTATCCATTCATGATTACCATAAACATAAATTATTCCTTGAACATGTAATAAGTACTTCATTTAAAATTGAAGTTGTAACTATAGCGAGAAGTTAACTTTTATGAAATCTTGCCTACCATTTTTTTAAAACAATTTTAATCTGCAACAGCTGTAATACATTTTTTTTTGTTAAAGTTGCTCGCATGCAATGTGGTAAAATCTCAGGTCTTATGTATTTGCTAAAATGATTTCGTGGTAGTCAAAATAATTTCAATCATCGAAAATCAAATCTATTTATTCAAAAGTAATATGGTAAAGCTAAAAATTTCTTACTATTTCCAACTAAATGCATGAAGAAAAAAAATTCCCACTAAAATGGGAAAAGTTATCAAGAACAGTCAGCTTAGTTGTGGTTCAATAATATTATTATCTAAATGATAACGATATAATTTAGATAAAGATAATTACTCTCAATACATACCACTTAATACATTCCTTACTTCATCGTAAGGAGTGTATTTTTTTACATATTGCAACTACATTTACGAAGCTATACGTTAACTTTTAATTCATTTTTTGGTTACTATAAAAATTATTCAGCGATTTATCGCCAACGAAATTATTTTACAATCGTGAGAAAATTAATAATCACATTTTTTTACAGTTAGAATTTTCGGAAACTAATTTCAGTTATATATCACTTGACTCAAGACATACAATCATTAAGAAAATGTTTAGCAAAAGTGTGTTAATTTTTAAAATTTATAAATTTTAAAAGTGGTGAAATTAGTAGTTTTCGAAGAAAAAAAATTTATTGCCTATTGATTATTGCAAACAAAATATCATTTATTTTGCTTTATTTTTTTTATTTAAAAAAAGTAGTTCTAAAGACACCCAGTCTTCCCATGAGGGAGTGTTGTAACAATGCCTGTATGTAATATAAATTATTTATTTTTCAGAGAGTAGCTAATCAAGTAGTGAAAGATCTAAGTGCTGAAAAATTCAAAGCAATGAGTTTAGAAGTGAGTACTTACAATATTATTTAAAAATAAATGAAAATTAATAATTGAAAAAAAAAAGAAGTAGATAAAAACCAATTTTAAGGCATGCTGAATAAAAGTCAGAAACAAGTTTAAGCTTCAGATAAAATGCTATTTTCAAACTAATTCATTCCCTTTTCGCAAATTTTCAACAATATTTTGAATATTGCTCTTCACGTAATGAAGCGATCAGGGTTTGAACACCGGCGAGGGCCTGCCAATTGTATACCGCTGCCAACTTGCACTCGCCACAATGATAACAAAAATATCACGAGTGATAGATTGATTTTCGGTTTGAGTCCTCTTGCCTTTGGACTAACCATGGGCTAATCATTTCGTAAAAAAAAGTCTCCTACGAGGGTGGGTTCGTTAAAATACTTGATCTAAAAGTTGCCTTGTCTTTGAGTAGGGTTCATGATTTTACAGTTGCGAAATCGAATATTGTTACATTTAGAAGTCTGGTATGGATAGTCTGTTCAACACTGCTGATAAAATTACTATGAAATATTTTGCATAGTAATATTGAATGTTATATGGAAATGGAAATAGTAATAAAAAAATAGTAATAAGAAATCGAATTTCTCCACGGGTCCTCTCCACGTGTACACTATCGTCATCACAGCCTGAATTAAATCTGGACGACCTGGTTCCATTCGATTGCAGTCCAATCCTGCCGAGAGCGACGCCACTTCGAACGGAGGGAATGGTGGGTGCATGTCAATCCTGCCTACGCTGCACAGTAGAACAGAATACCACTTCTACAGCTGGTGTGATGGCACGGATTGCCATCGCATATGGCACACGATCACCCCTAATATAGATCCACTGCGCCATGATGGCCAATCTGTACGATCGTCACATCCCTTAGCCCCATGTGTTTTCACTCATTGCACAGCATTCAGGAGTCATTTTTCATAAGGCAATGCTCGGCGGTATACAACAAGGGTGTCAAAGTAGTGTCTTCCTAGCTTGCTCGATACCCAGATTTCTCAATGAACTAACATATCTGAGACTACTTAGGATAGGAAGTTGGACAACCTCCGAGTGGAGTCGATTTACGGATGTTTTAACAGCAACTATGGAACAAGATGGCGCAGGGCATCGTAAGGGACTTATATGCCTCTGTGCCGGACTGTACCACGTCTTGCCTAGATGTGGCCCAAGAGGGTACTAAAACTTTCATTCATTTGTATTCTTTCTTACAGTAAATGATTATTTTGCTTTCATTTTTTAATCACTTGCTTGCATCAACGTTGTATGAAAATTTCTTTTCAGTCTGACAACTCTTTCAAGGTGCGCTAATTTTTAATGGCAATGAGTGTTTTTACTGAAAATAAATATTCCTATTGACCAAGAACTGTATAAATCGTCAAATTTTAAAAAATATTTTAATTAATTACTAAAAAAATAATTTTAATAGAATGTGTTTCACTGGGCATCGTGGAAAATGTTCGGATTGGTCTTTTAAAAACTGGCAATTAAAATATAAAAAATTCAGTTAAACATATCAATATGAATCATCATTATTTATATCTAAAAGAAATAAAAAAAATTTTTTAATTGTAATAGATTTTTTCCAATGCAATATCAATCAATATAACTGATACAAATCATCTCTAACATTTTTTGTTAAAAATTCTTCAGAGCAATGTCGCAATTAGTTTCGAAAAAAAATAAACTTGTAGATAAATAATTTTGATTGGATAAAAATTTGCGTAAATTCAACTTCGAATAAATGAAATTGACCATACTTGCTAGAGAGATTTTTGTATTTAAATGTTTTTCTCACGAATTGCTTTTAGGAAGCAGAAAAATGGCTGAATACATCGAATACAACGTCAAGCAAAATGTATTGCGAATTCATTGAAAGACACGGTCATCGATGTCTGAAGGAAGTAAGTTTATATTCATTATTAGGATTTGATGTATACGATTCATTATTACGATTTACATTACTGTTAAATACACAAGCTTCAGACGATTTTTTAAGTGACGCCATTGTTCTTAAAGTCCCTTTTGTATTGTTCTTAAAGTCTCGTTCGTATTGTTCTTAAAGTAAATTTTTTATTATTTTTAAAATGTCGCTTGTTTTGTTCTTAAAGCAGTGTAGACAGAGACTCTGGATAACAGAATTTTGAATAAGATGTCTAATTAAGTCTCCCTTCAAGATTCTGATCCTTTAGAATCCACCAATTTGTGGTAGAAAGACTCGTGCGAACGAAAAATTCCCTAACAATTTATCTATCTCAAAGTTGTAATGCATGCATCAAATGCCATTTTGCCTCCCCAAATATTTTCAAATAGACTTCTTTAAAGTCACTATTTTAAATTTTGTCACATATTTACAATATTTTTATTGTTGAATTAACATTTATTATCTTAGATTAACTCTAATATGAATTTTTTTTTTATAAAAAAAACATATCTTCATCCAAGCAAAAAAAAAAAAANGACACCAAAAAAAAAAAAAAAAAAAAAAGATTGCAAAAAGTGACTATTAAATGAATAGGACCTATCGATAACGGCCACCGACTCATTACGTTTGAAGAAAAAGTGGCTACTAAGTTATTAGAGTCTACCGGCCACTGGCTACTAACTGAAAATTTAAATTTTTAGGTCTAGTTTTAAGTCTTGATCATATTGTTTTTAAAGTTGATATATTGTAGTTCTTAAAGTCTCGTAGATATTCAATTCGACATGCAAAATAAAAACTTCCAAACCTGTATTAGTTATGAGAGTTCTAGCATTATTTCCTAGGAATGAAACTTTCGCACCTCATTATACAAATAGGCTGTTTTTGCTCAGACTACTTCACTGATCTAGCGTTACGCACCTATTATGTCCGACCCCCAATGCTCTCCAACCTTTTTATCGCCCCGTACCGTTGAGTTAGTGTAAAAGCTCTACCACTCTTTTTTTAATATAAGGGCTCCTTTTGCATCCTAGTATTATGGGGCATATTCTTTCGCGAATAGAATTTTCTTGTAGAACTAATCTAACCTCCCAATTTGAAACGAAGTCTATTTAATTTCGTATTTGGGAAGAATAATACAATTTTGTTCATCGAGCTTGCATTCGTTATTTTACAAAGCAATATTTACTGTATTCTAAAGATTAGTTTAAAAAAACTTTTAATTTTGTTCAATCTAAATATTAATCATAATTTAATTTATTTTATAGATTTGGGTTAGCAGTCGAATCACAGTACTCGGTTCTCGGATAGTGGTCTACAGAGTGTGGTTTGCAAGCTTATGAGTCTCGAATTTCGGCAACGTGCGCATGAGTGATGCTTCAAATCAGAGTGTACCGACTACGGCGGTCTAAACTTATTAAAAAGCGTCTTAGATCTTAAAACTAATTTTCCTAATATGTAGGGTGTTCCGTAATTACTATCCTTAACATACATTTTTTTAATCCTTGACATTGTCAAAAGGTTTGCACATTATGCATCGCAACTGATAACAGAATCTGATGAATTACTATTGAGGAATCTGGGATTAAATACTTCAAAACAAACTTGATTGCCACTGGCAGGTGTTTCAGACTATTACCGTACGTATTGTCTTAGTTTTTTCTGACAGTTAAATGGGTTTCGATAATTTTTAAAAATCTCGCTTTCATTGTTAGTGGTTTTTAAGATTTGAATGACAATAATTCTCTCTAAAAATAGATTTTTCTTTAAATCGTGGAAGTATATGATTTTTTTCATATCATATATAATTAAAGTTATAGAAATATATAATAAAAATAGTGATTATGGTGGTTACAGTCTAAATCATTTACAGAATTTCTGAATTCAAATTTAAACAAGTGACCACTAAGACAGTCATGGCCAGTTAAGAGTCGAATTTTCGCAATTGCAGAAGCACAAAGAAAATCCTGAATAATGGAAGCCAGACACTCCCAGGCTTTATCTTTTGCATAATTATTAGGTAGTAGTTAATGTCTTTTGTTAAATCCCGATTTCATCATTCTTTTTGCTGAATTTAAGGTCAACACAGCTTTTGACCTTCGGAGAATGTTAGTACTAGGAAGTCAGCCTTTTTCACCAGGAAGTCAGCCTTCCCATTTCCCTCCACTACACAGTGAGAGAGATCCCACTGTAAAACAATGGTCCCCGACAGAGAATTCAGAGGAGACCGACAGGTATAGATTCGTTTCGAGTTGCACATTTTATTGCTGGAAAAAGTCTGTAGAGCAACTTTAGGATCGGAAAGAATAAGAATTTTATTAAAGATTTGTCTTCTGGCAATCTCTACCTCTCCATCGAAGCTAGTGGTATTACCACCTATAGCTCTGTAAAAGGAAAAATGATCACAAAAAATACCAACTCCAGCATTAACACCCTAATCCATGAAGGAGCTATCAATGAGAGTTAGACTACCGTGCAATTTAACACATTGCTAACCGGTCACGAGTTAACTGGTGTTTTCGTGGCCAACCGTTGGTGACCGGTCACGAGTCATAGCAATCATATTAGCAGTGATCTCGTGGTGACTATTTTAAAAAGTGGGTCTAACTTTCCATACTTTTCAAGTTTTACTATTTAATTCTCTACCAATTTATGATAACTTTACGAAACCCGATACATTTGCAAAACTTGTAAGTTAACATTACACGTCACTTATGAGCAGATCAATAAATCCTAAGAAGTCAGTTACTAATCTCAGTAATATCATACCTCATATCGAAGACTGGTGCACAAAATGGAAGGTAGACATCAACACCACTAAATCTTCACTACTAATTATTAGGAAATCAAGTAAAAAGAAAGTCATTTATCCAAATATTACTCTTTTCAATGATGAAATACCACTAGTTCGAAAGGCCACCTACCTAGGCGTCACTCTTACTAGTACTTTAAATTGGAATACCCATATTGAAAATATTCTTAGCAAAGCGCAAGGAGCCTATAGATCTCTGAAACCAATATTAAACTGTAATTCAAAACTATCACTCAAAACAAAACGAACGCTATACCTCCAATGCATTCGACCGATCATCAGCTACGCAGCCCCTGCATGGAGCACAACCACTGTTACTCAAAAAAAGAAACTGGAGATTGCTCAAAATAAATTCCTCAGATATATCACTGGAGCCCCAAGATCCATGAGAATGAAAGATCTAAGACGAGAGTTAAAAATCAACAAAATAGATGAGCACATAGCTGAACTATGTGCAAGTTTCTTCAGAGATGCACTCTCTTGTCATACGTGCAATTACTTAAAAAATTTTGATTTTGAGCTCATCAAAGACAACATAAAAAATAGCCTGGCAACCGCCTTTTGTCCCGTAAATTTTGTAAATACTTATAAATAATTTTGCGCATTTATTATGTATTTCTCCTTTTCTCTAAGGATATGTGGCTGCTGTGCACCTGAGAAGCTCGGGGGTAATACCTCGAAGGGAGGCGAGGCAGTCTGCCACAAAACCTCTTCTGTCTCTTAAACTTGTTTGTTCAATCACACTACTTCATTTTAATTTTCTCTCAGTAAAAGATACTGAACCCCAACTTTCACCTTTCAGTTGCGCTTCGGCGATTTATTATTTATTTCCACTCAGATGAATTAGTCAGAGCCCCTAGCGGGGCTGATGCTAAGATAACCATCACATATGAGTATGAGTAACATTACACGTAGGTGATTGTTATACTTTTTATCATACGAAAAAGAAATATTAAGAGTTGAATAATAAATAAAATTTTTTAAAGTTTATTATTTTGTTTTATTTCCATATCCGCTTTCAAAACAATAGCCGGGCACATGGGGCAATTTTCAGAAAAGTTGCCGGTCAGCAATGTACACTGCTCAAAGAAATTAGGGGAGCACATGGTTTTAATGAAATTACGCAAATATTTACGCCGATAAGTAACAGAAAAGTAATCATTTATAATGTAAGGCCGAGCAGGAAAAAGAAGAAGAAAACTTCATATGCAAAAAAAAGTTCATGACGTCACAAACCAGAAAAGAAGATAAGAGCAGAAATCGGGATGTTGCAGAGACGTCTGTTTCACTGCCGTAACTCAGAAAGTTGATTTCTCAGTTATTGTTTTCGAGAAAGGGTGACTTGAAAATGTTTCAACAACGTGATTTACCTGAATCCATTGCATGGCGCATCATCGGCAGACTGGAATCCGGGCAAACACAACGCAGTGTGGTGGACGCTGTTGGAGTCAGCAGAAGTGTCGTTGCAAGGCTGTGGAATCGATTCCAAGAGATTGGAAATGTGAGTCGTCGTCCAGGACAAGGTCGGCCACGTGCAACAACTGCAGCTGATGACCGATATATACAATTAACAGCTCGTCGTAACAGAACAGACAATGCTACTCAGCTGCAGAGACAGTTTCTCGTGGCAACAGGACGAAGAGTTTCCACCCAAACAATACGGAATAGGCTCCATCAGGGAGGTCTCTATGCTCGTAGGCCCATGGTCTGCATTCCATTGACCTCAAGTCACAGTGCGGCTCGCAGAAGATGGGCTGCTGAACATCAAGATTGGGAGCAACGGGATTGGAGCCACGTATTGTTTACAGACGAGTCTCGATTCAGTCTGGAGAGTGACACCCGACGTGTTTTGGTGTGGAGAGAAAGGGGCACTCGAAATAACCCCACTTTCATTCGTGAAAGGTCACACTACAGACGAGCTGGTTGGATGGTGTGGGGTGGAATAAGCATAGGTGGACGTACGGACCTGCATATCATTCGGAACGGTACTTTGACGGCCCGCAGATATGCAGACGAGATATTGAGACCTCATGTCATACCCTACGCAGCAGCCATTGGAGATTCCTTTGTTTTACAAGATGATAATGCGAGACAACATGCAGCTCGTCTTGTGGAGAACATGCTGGAAGCTGAAACAATACAGAGTATGGAATGGCCAGCATGCTCTCCTGACTTGAATCCAATCGAGCATGTTTGGGACGTGCTCGGGCGACAGATTGCTGCGAGACCAAGGCCTCCATTAACTCTCCGTGACTTGGAGATTGCCCTTCTTGAGGAGTGGAACTGTATTCCTCAAACTCTCATCGATACCATCATCGCATCCACGGGAAACAGGTGTGCAGCAGTCTTAGCTGTTCGAGGAGACCACACGCCTTATTAACAGTACTGCATCATTTCCAAACATTACTTTTTTATCGTTTACATGTAAACCAATTGTTGCCTTAAATCGGCTTTTTTTTTCCATAGTTCCCATGAATTAAAGCTTAATTCCATATGTTTTTACGTCTTTTTTTCTGTATCGCGAATTGATACGTATGCACTATCCATTTCATGCAGCTCTGTGGATGTCTCGCACGATTTTCTTACTTTCTTTGCTTGCTCCCCTAATTTTTTTGAGCAGTGTATTAATAAACAGCATAAGTGCTTCATGAATGAGTCCGAAAAAAGTGGGTCGACAACTTTTCGTCTTTTATTGCTAATGCTATGAACGGCCTTAAATAGAATTTCAAATAACTGATAAAACAAAGTTTGTTTCTGATTTTTTTCACCATATCTATGTAGCTTACCATACAAAGATGCAAAATATATATAAAAATCAAAATTTTGGAACTTTTTGTCGCTTACGTTGGTTTTTCAATTGCGCGGCACAATAGCACGAAGTTCTTAATGGCTTATTTCCTTTTTTATCAATTTTTAAATCAAGTTCGATGCTGCAGTAACCGAAAGGTGGGTTAAAATCTAAATAGTTTTGTGTTTACAATATTCAATTTTTTATTCTTTTTCAGTTTGATGTTAATTCGACACCATGGGGTCAAGATCAACGGATTTTTATTAAACTCCTACAAGTATGTAAAATTGTCTGTTTTTTTTTTAAAAATAAATATTTGTAAATTTGCCTTCTAAAATATTTGTATTTCTTTTTCTTGTTTCAATGACCACTTGTATTATACATTTAATTTAATTTGTAATCTTTATTTTTCTGCTCAAAAATTAGTTATTGCACTTGATATTTATAAATAGGTAATGCACATTTTTATACCCAAACTAGATTTTTTTTCTTATTATTATTACTTTATTATTATAACTTGGAATGTCAATTACTAAGAGTTTGTAAAATATTTTATAAAGTGCTTCACAGTCAAATCCAAAGCTTACAGGATTTTCGTTAATATTGCCAACATTTTAAAAGACTAACCATGAGAGAACTGGAACAAATTACTATTCTTTTTGGAACTTATTAATAAAAAAACTATAACAAGTAACTTTAAATTAAGATTAAATAAAGAATTTTGCATTAAAAAATAAACTTTCCGAACATAATTTTTCCCCTCACAAAGCTTAGAAAATTGGCATTCCTTTTATACGGACGTTTGATAAGTTAATTCGAATTGTTCAATGAATGTATTGTCAGCGGATGGCAAGTTTGGTCCTTGAGGAGTTACTTTTGTCCAACACAAAATATAAGTTGTTAAATTTTGAAATCAGAGAGCAAAACGATACAGTTTTTGAAAACCATTGTTTCAATGAATAAATTGATAGCCTCAATTTGAACTAATCTAATTATTAAAATAATTCCAGTATATTAAAATGAGTGGTCTAAAAAAACGCCACGAAGAGGTTATTTTGGTCCAAAACTTTAAAAATAGCAGAAAAAGAAATTTTTTTTAAAAAAATTGATAATTTACTTCTTTATATTTTGTTAGCAAACTAAAATTCAATTTAGGTCTTGATAGCCCCCATATTATACTTTTTACTAACGAATATCTAAGTGCAGTAGTAATACTTGATTTGCGTGACACAAGTGCTGACCAGTGAACTATTGGCGATCGCCTGCATTTACAAGTGCTGTATTTTTAGAGCTCTATTTGGTTAGAATGCCACGCAATTCGACTCTGATCAGAAGACGTGGACAGAACCTGAGCTACCCCACACCATAATTAACGAGAGGATTTTCAACCGCGACGTGCACCTTGCTTGCACTTAGGTTGTTTAGTTGGCCCCCAGGATCAAACTCATTTCATTTGGGTCACGAACCAGCAATGCGAGTGACGCCTTAACCGACTTCGACAATGGAGTGTCTCTGTAGTAGTATCCGGTATGCTTAGATTTATAGAGTTTATTAAAATGTGTTACTCACCATTACAAACGAATAATTCGCATATATACGAGAGTTCTTTTTTATAATGCAGTAATATTATATACATATATATTTATTAAAAAAAAAAAACTTTTGATAATGTATAGTTAAATTTCCTAGATAATTCTTTCTATTTTAATTATCATTTTACAACCACGTTCAAAAATATTCACCAAAAATTATACAAGTTGGTTGCTCAGTATTCTTTTAAATGATTCCGATGTTTTTGATTTTATTTACAGACTTTAGCAGGCTGCGCAAAAGAAGACTCCGAAAGCTCAGATGAAAACTATTCAAAGCTATTTTCTGAACTACGGACGCCCTTAAATGTTCTGAACAGGTAATATATGTTATTATGTACAAGTCAATTGAACAAATAGTTCAAAATTGCAAGAACTTTTGTTTTAAAAAATTTACGATTTTTGACACGTACTTAAGTATACACTTCACCTCGATATCCACAAAATATTTAAACATTTCTTTTTCAATTATGGGATATTTTACGATAAATTTTTTACGGTGAAAAGATTGTGACCAATCCTGAAGCCATGAGGCAAATAGTTTAGAAGTTATAAGGGTTTCTTCATAAGAAGTATAATTCAAAAACAGTACTTTATCATCAGTTGTTTTGATTCGCGTTCGATCTCATTCTTTTAACTGAGAGAAATATATAGGCAACTATTGTCACGTCTACATCAATTGTAATTATATCAATTAAGATGAGTGATTAAGTTTAAGCGTAAAATTGTATCTATTGTACATAAAACGCTTATAACTTCTAAACTAATAATATGGTTGCCTAGGAATTAATCTCATTTAACTCAGTGCGAAATATTGCATCAGAAATCATACCAAACATGTTCAGAAAGTTCCTGGATAGCAATGTAAAAATCAGTGCACAGAACAAACAAAAAAACAGGTCATTCTGAGTAATTTTTTATCTTATGATCGCATCTTCGCGTTCTATGACTGGTTCGAGAGAACGATCTCAAATGAGCTAATTAATTAGCGCAGGCGGTAATTTGAGCTACAAAATCAGACACAATAATAGTATTTTCTCTGAATAAATATAACTTTTTTGACGGAAAATTGTTTCTGAGAAATTAAATTTTAAAAAAGTTGTTCACTTAAAATTTCACTTTCTCAGGAAATATTCAACGTTAAAAGTCTGTATTTTGCCATGTGAAATTAAATACTTTAAAATGAAGTAAAAAATTATATACCTTGCAAGTCAAAGTTTTTTCTACTGTTATTAAATAAAACATAAAAAAGTTATAAATGTTTACTGAAATTTGCTTTTTTGTATGGAATTGTCTTTGGATAAACGAAATTTATAATTGAGTACGAACAGTTTTCAATTTACTTTCATAGTTCTCGAGAAATGTCGAAATACGCAAGAAGCAAAATAAAAAGAAAGGGGTAAAAACTTTTAACCTTTCTCCTGACCAAATTATTTGGACCATATTTCTCATTTTGCGACAACTCCATATATTTGGGGATTCAAAAATCCGAAACCCTAAAAATAATTAGCATAGTTGAGGTTACCCCCGGAGCCATTAAGATGGTGTCATAGAATGTGAAGATCCTTTTATTAGATCAAAAGTTATACAGGGTGGAAGAAATTAATTATATATTTCTAGTGGTTTGTAGCATTTATTGAATTTTGCCAAACTGGCTTCATTGCACCATGAAGGGTTAAAGGAAAAGTCTTTCGAAAAGTCAAAATGGTTAAAAGTTGTGATTTCTAATAATGTTGCATAGAAAGATGAACATGTCTCTTTTAAAAGATGTTATTTTTATGTTTCTTAATTTGTTTTAAATAACTTTAGATTACTTACTTTCGCAAATATTTAATTTTTTAATTAATTTAAGGCTTTTTTTATCCAAAAACTTGTAAAAACTAGTTGGAATATTTCAGGTGGCTTTTAAGATTCGCTATTCCAAATTGTCGTAGGGGTGTAAGATCGAGAGAAACTAGTAAGGTAGGTTCCACTTCTATGTTATGTTGTTTCTTTTCATGAACTTATTTTTAATGGTGTGCTAAAGTTGTTTTTTTTTTTTCTTCGTTTCAGTCTATGGTGGTCAAAAGTGTCGACCACTACAGAAAAGGTTTTAGACATTTGGCGAAGTTGATGGTGGCAGAAGGACGTATTCCGGATAAAGACCTTATATATTTTATGACATTAGAGGAAATTAGAGATTTGTTGAATACGAGATATCCAAAAATAATATCCAGGTAAATTCAGTTTTCTTCAATTTAACTTCGTTAAATTAATTCAGTTTTCTTTAATTTTCTTTGATTTGGAAAGCGAAACTTAGAAAATAATCATCATTGATGATACTTTTCTGTTAAAAAATGTTTTGCCGATAAGAAATCATTTTTTGAGTGATAGCAAAAGTATCATTTTTACGCATTAAATCTTAAAGTTTAACGTTTCAAATTTTTTTTAAAAAATTACCACGACGTATCAAGAGCTCAATAAAATATCTATATAAGATCTATTTGTATCCTAATTAAATGCTTATAGACGTTTGAATAATTTTGTGTTGCGGCCAACTTGTACGACCGCTGAGAAAAAATTTTCGTAGTGGCAGACCAATTTGTGTTTTGTTCTATTAAATCGTGAAATACAAAGTTTCAAAAAAAATTTTTTAGTCTCAATAATTTAAAACAAATATGTAGATAAGATATATTTCTCGGCTAATTAGGCTCATTTATGTCTTAATAGTTTTGTTCTTAGCTATTTCTTTGAAACTTAATTGTTGATTTACAATCACTTTGTAAAATCTTTTTCGACGACCGTACAAGTTATCTTCTAGACTTGAAAATGCCTTAATAGTTTTGTTTCTATAAAATTCTTCCAGACTTAATTCTTGTTTTTCTACCACTTGTGGATTTCCTAACTATCGAGAATTCATCAAATATTTACTGATAACACTGGGGAGCAATTTTTTCTTGTGTGCATATTTTTGGTTGTAACTGAGATAATAATGCGTAGTTGATTTAAAATCTGTAATCAGTTTCTCTCTAAAATTTCATATAATATTTAAAATAGAATATAAATATTTTAAAATATCTTAAAAAATACAAATATTTTGAAATATAATTTATAAAACAGTTTGCAATTTAGTAGTTTATTCCTCACGACAAATTTTTGAAATTCACTCAAATGAATTCGTAGTGTCCCCACTTCTCTGCTACGTAGGAAGTGACAGCAAGAAGGCGATAATACATTTCACCTTATGATGTCATCTGTTTAGGTCACATGTTTTTCGTTTTAGGTGTTATTTTCAAAGGTGCTGATAAGTGTTTATGTATGTATATAAACATACATGATTTTTACAAATTTGTACATTCAGACTGAAACTAAACTTGCGATAAAGAATTAATGAGTCTACATTAGTATTGAAATAAAAAGGTTAGCCGTTACATTGATCGATAAGAAAAGAATAAAATATTTTATGTTCGATTTAAGTAAAAATTAACTAATTGATTTTATTTAAATATAATTCGATTAACAATGAAGAAAAGTGTGAGTAATTAAAGATATCTCAAAAGGTACGAAATGCCAATTGTGGCATCACATTAGCTTTTGTAATTTTATTTTACACTATTACCAGTGTTGAACAGCTGACCCATTTCTGGATTTGCGAATTCTGTCAATATTCAACTCTGCAGTCTTTTAATTTTAAACCCAACCTAGAAGACAGGAGAACTCCTGTATCAAACATTGGTACAAACTAGCTTTCTTTTAATATTTTGTAATGGAACTAACTTGTAATCGCGTTACATGGATTGGATAACGCTAAAATAGTTTATGGTTAGCCCTTTGACAAGAGCAGTCGAACCCATTATCGTTATGACCTTGAGGATATTTTACGTTAGCACTGTGGTTGGTGTGAGACGGCGGCAGAATTTCTATCGAGCAGCAGTTGCTGGGATTCGAACTGGGTCTACTCTTTATAAGGCGAGTATTCTAACCCTTGAACCAACATGGCTGAACTTGTACTTTTCGATAAATTTCCGACGAATAAGATAAAAATTCTATTGCCTTCCACAGTGATTTTCCTGTTTACAATACAAACGAACATTTTGCCAGTTTGTATATTATATTTCAAGTTCTTTGTATATTTTTTCAGAGCAAATCAACGCAGAAAAATACTTCCAGTGGTTGATCAATACAAGTTTCCCGAAATCATGCGAGGTTTTCCCAAACCAGTAAGTGTTCTATTTTTGCTTTATATGTAAGAATTTAGTATAAATTTTTTTATATATTTTCAATTAAAATGAAGTTAGTTTAACTCTTGAGAATAACACTCAAGATATATTGATGCCTTCAGTTGTAAAGTTTTTTTCCGAAAGTTTTTTATATTCAAATTCAAATAATTATTGTATATACAATTATTTAATTTTATTACTTATTTACATGTATTTGAAATAGTGACTTGTAAAAAGCATTCTTCATCTGTTATAAATTGTTTTCAGATTACAATTTCCTCATTGAATTTGTGAATTTTTAGGTAAATGAAGTAGAAGAAACTTCAGATACAACTGAATATATTGCTGATTTAACAATGCAAGGTAAAAGAAAAATGAACGCCATTTATAAAACATTTACAGGGTTCCCGCTGATTTAAAAAAATTTAATGGTGATGAATAATTTAGATTAAAATACTAATAGGAATTCCTTTTTTTTCGATACCAACCTCATAATTCAGAGATCTGATTGGATAATATTTCTATACAGATACATCTTATTTGAAAAATAACAGAGAGGTGGTCAAAAATGTATTAAATGATTGAAACTTACTTCTTAAAGTAATCACTTCGCAAAATTTTTAATGTTCATGGGACCTCTGTGCTATAGGATCACAAAAATTTAGCTTAATTCTAATTAAATGTGTACCACTCTTTAAAATAGTTTGAAATAAGCTTAGTAGTTGGTAGTTGGCAAATGCTTCGTATGTTGCAATTTTTTGACAGAACATGCAAAGGGTAGTGGTTAGCGTTGTTTCAATCGTTTCTGATCAACTCAAGTATTCGACCTAAAATTGTAATGATTGAACATTGACATTAATTTTTATGACGAAAGCCACAAATGTAATTTGTATAAGTGTTTATAAGAAAAAGAACATAACTAATTTGGAGATTTTACTGGTTATGTTTTTTTCATGTAAGTGACTTAAATTATGTTTATAATATTGCTTTCGTTTTAAGCCATGTACGCAGAAATTCATTTAAAAAAATTGCAGTCTGAAGAAAATATAATTACTCCATATCATCGTTTTACTAAAGAGTAAATTTATATAAGTAAATTAAATAAGTATGAGTAAATTGAATAAATATTTAATTAATGTAGAAGGAGAGATTCAAATTTGGTAGAATAGTATTCTAGAACAGTTTTCTTGTTAGCTTGAATAGTATTCTGGAACAGCTTTCATGTTAGCCGGAATAGTATTCTAGAACAGTTTGCAGGTTAGGTAGAATAGTATTCTAGAACTGTTTTCAAGTTAGTTAGAATAGTATTTTGGAACAGTTTTCAAGTTAGGAAGAATAGTATTCTAGAACTGTTTTCAAGTTAGGTAGAATAGTATTCTAGAACAGTTTTCTTGTATATTCTTGTTGTTTCAGTCAGGAAGAATAATATTTTGAAGCAGTTTTCATGTTAGCTTGAATAGTATTCTGTAACAGTTTTCATGTTAGCTAGAATAGTATTTTAGAACAGTTTGCAGATTAGGTAGAATAGTATTCTATTTTCATGAATTTTATAGTTATTATTAATATTTTATTTGAATTATTATTACTATGTTTTTGTTCTGATTTTCTGGCGTTCAAGAAAGAAATTAGTGTGTTAAAATTATGTTGATTATTTGTATAGCAACTCTTTTAAACGCTTAATTTAAGATTATTCATTCCTATTTCCAGGTATTCCTGTTAGCCAGGGTGTTGTTAAGGGATATGCTAGGGTAGCCGTATCTCTGGATCAAGCTGCTCAATTAAAGGTACATGTATATGCGTAAAAGTAACAACTACATAGCAATAATTAAAATAAAGTTTTTCAGTTTTTATAAACAATAGCTTTGTTTTGAAATATGTAAAATATACTTTGATATAACTTTTAAGACTAATATATAAACTTTCCCCTTCTAAAATTGTTTATTTTTATTTGATATAATCTATGATTTTTCTCTTTGTGACATTTTTTTAGCACTGTTAGTCATTAATTTTTCAACCAAATTACATCTTCAAAAATACGTAACATAGATTTTAAAAATTTATTATAGACTATTATTTGTTCCTACTTTTTCGAAACATTATTTTAAAATATTTGCAGTTGTTGAGGAAAATTAATTAATTGCTTAATTGATTTTCCTCATTTTTTAATTAATTGCTTAATTGTTCGCCATTTTTTAAACTGTTTAAGTGAACTTAAGCCAGATCTTAATATCATTACAGGATTATCAGGTTCTTTATTAGGTAAGTGAGAAATATATTTTTTAATGGCGGACAAAATTATTTTTACCCATTCGAAAATGTTTTTTGTCACAAAAGGAGCAGTTATCAAATAAAAAATTCACAAATGACAAAGAATAGGGTATAATACTTATTTCTTTAATCTGAATCTCAGAGTACAATACATTAAATAGCAATTGGTATAACTTTATAACTTAATAATATTTTGAGTTTTTTTTTAATGTTTGTATGCTTTAATAAAGTCATTGTCTATAGTAAAATACAATTCTATTTAACCTCCTCAGTTGGATTTTTTGATCGTAATGAAAAGTTTTGATTCGAGTAAATTTTTTGACAGTTTTATGGGATATAAATATCTTACTGTTGTTCAGTCTTATAGGTTTTATTTTGTGACCAAATTGTGAAGAAATATACTATAAAAGTATCCTTGACAATGTAAAAATGATTAAAAAAAACTATTATTTTTGATATAGTAATTACAAATAACTAAGAAAGTTAGTCGAGATTAATGATTTTTTTAAATATTTCATTACCTTTATGGGTTTATTTATTTCTTGGTGGTATATTTTTAAGTGAAAATAGCATCATCTGCCATTATAGCTCGATCTTTCTGAGAATTAGTTTAGACGAAACTGTGACATTAAGATGTACCGTTAAAAAAACTGCTTTCCAATCTTTTCTTTTTTTCTTTAATTATATGTTTTTATTTCAAAATATAGATAGTATTCATATTTGAGTGCATTTTCTTGAACATATTTTCCTAATTTGAAACTCATGTGCTTGAATATTAAAAAAATTCTTAGTCTTTATATATTTGAAGTATAGGGTAAAATTAATTTCAAAAAATTTTAATTGACATTTATTCCTCACAATTATGTTTTTTTTTAACAGTTGCGATAGCCTCTTCAATTTTCTACTGATTTATGATATTCGGATGAATGAAAATCAGTAATTTCGGCAAAAAATGTCGATTCTTTTTGCGATTCATATTTGATCTTCAATTCATTAGCTCTGAGAAGCCTATTAAAATTTTTTATCCCTGATATTTAGAAATGAAGCTATAGTTTTTTTTTTTTTTTGCGTATATTGGCAGAGAAAACCGATCACCGAAATCAACTCCCAAAAACGAAACTAAAATGTTTCTTGCTATTCTTGAGAATTTTAACTACTTTTTATTTAAATAAATTATGCAATTTTTTTTAATATGAAATTTCTCATATTTTAAATGCATTTTCAAAGGATTGCAGATTTTGAGAAAATTTCTTTACGCTAACACACTTTACAAAAAAATTAATGTTAATTATATTTTTAGCCAGGGGAAATTTTGATCGCTTACAGTACAGACATAGGATGGAGTCCATATTTCCCAATAATATCTGGTGTTGTCACTGAGCTTGGAGGACTCATTTCACATGGTAATACAACATTAAAGCCTTTATTATATTACTTTTCACGTTCGCAATTTATAAAATTCCATTTTCTAATATTTTATGTTTTATAATTTAAGCATATTAGTTCAATGTTGAAAGTTGAATACTTAAAATTGTATTTTCGAAGATATATAACATTTAAAACACAGTTTTTCTTTTAAACATAGTTTATAAAGAGAAACTAATAAAATAACTTTTACTGAAAGAAATAGATAGTATATAGATTGTTCGAAACACTTATTTACCGTAGTGGGAAAAATTCCCACTGGATTTAAGAAGACTATTTCATTCGTAGTTTGTATTCATCACACAGATAAGATTCATCAGTGATTCTTTTATGTATTTTTTATTCTGACGCTCTTATTGCAAGCAGAAATAGATTTTGGTATTTTTTGATTACGAAAAATGGTCTAATGGCTGCTAAAAAAAATCTGTTAGATTGTCGGAATTATATTTGTACTAAAATGTAAAATGCAAAAAAAAAGTAGTTTGAAATATTTTTTCATTCATATCTGAAAATTTAGCAATAATTTATTGTATGAATTAAAGAAATTTCAATGATGAGTAACTGTTTCTCCTAGTCCTAAATAACTGTAAATCAGTGCAAATTTGATAAGTTATTGTTTGAAAGTGAGCCGAGTTAAGAAGATTTTACCTTTAATGCAGAAAAAAAAGACCAGTGTTTCTTGTTAACTTTCATAGCCATAAATTATTAAAACGCTAAGTATAATACTTTTCCTTTATTCTGATCTAAATTATCACAAAATAATGAAAAAAGTATGAAAAATATATTAGCTTTTATTTTAAGCATTCCATGTTTAATGCTATAGATTTAAAATTGAAAATTGGACTTGCAAAAAATATAAAATTTAAAAACTTAGTTTTTTCACCTAAGCATATTGTTTCTTGTACGATGAAACGAAGAAAACAAATGTTACTGAAAGAAATTGACAATATATAGACTAAAAAAACAATAATCTGGTTCATTGTTTAAAATAAGAATTCAAAGAATAATATTTGTTGCATTTTAATAAAGGTGCTGTTGTAAGCAGAGAATATGGACTTCCTTGCGTTGTTGGACTTCGAGGAGCCACAAAGCAGTTTAAAACAGGTATGCAATAAAAGTAGTGGAATTCTCTTGAAGTATGTATAAATACTTGAAATTTGTTTTAAAAATTATAATAACTTCTCTATTGCACTGAACATTTTCATTAAATAGTTGTTATTTTAGGTTTAATTAATATTTTTCACAAAAAATGCATTAAAATACATAATGACGGACTGAAAAGTATATCATTATATTCCGTCAAGTCCTTCAAATATTAAAACTATGTAACGAAGACAGCAATGATGATAGTGATATGGAATATCTTCAGAAGCACCTGTTTTGTGGTAGCTCGAATGGGGTGGTGTACCATTTGAAGGAGGAGAAGCATCTCTGCTCTTGAAAATGAGACAACCCCTAATATGCTCCAACGGCAAACAGTTTTAAATTTAAAAACTGCTGTTTTCCCAGCAAACTTTCTCGAAAAGGACAAACAAAACAGTCATAAGAGAGAAATATCAAATTTATGAAACATTTAATGTTAAAAAAATGCACATAAGGATTGCGAAATAATTTTTTTTGTCATACGATCCCCAAATGGCAACCTTGTTCAGTATTGTTCAAATCCTTCTTCCTGAAACAGCGATACAATATCGTCGGATACCACGTGATGAGGGCAGAGTCAAGTGCCAACTCCTGTTGAACGAACTGTACCTCGTTGAAGAATTTCATGAACTTTCTTTTTACTGCTCTGTAAGGCAATACAGATTCTTTGCAAGCATCTGCAATAAATGCCCTAGTTTACCTATATCAATCAGGTTAATCTTTCGCCTTTTTAAGATCTTGCTGACATAGATATACTCGTACAGTCTTTGGCACATTCAATTTTCATCCAATTTAATTGTTCTTGTTTCGAAAACATCGTGTCACTATGCATAAGAGCTCCGGGAAGCTCAAGGTTCTGTTCCTCCGTCAGTGCGCTTGCGCTTGATGTTGGATGTTAAAGTTCATGTGATCTGAGGTTAGGAAGGCATGTAATTAACGTGTGATATAAGTAACATTATTCATTTAGGTTACACGGTGTATATACCATGTACCAGTGTTACTACAGTTATAGTTACCATGTACCAGTGTTACTACTATTAAAATTCCCACCCTTGTAGTTATTTTTTTCAAACCAGATGCAGTAGTTGAATTCGAATTTAGTATTTTTTTTTAGAAAGTAACAAATGTATATTGTATTCCTTTTTTTACCTTTCAGGTGATTATGTTTTGCTTGATGGAAAAAAAGGTGTGCTTCAAAGATTACCGAAGCCACAAGACGAAGACAAAGATTAAGAATCTAAAAAATGCTCATCAATACAGATATCTATCATTACTTTCAAAGAGCTTACAAATTGATGAAACTAGAACTGATATTGTTGCTAGTTTGTTTACTTGGATGAAATCGATGAAGTATAAGAAATGTTTTTTTGTACAAAAAATAAAAATTTATTTGTCAAAAAGAATGGCTGTAGAATTCATTTATAAAAAAAAGATTGTTTACTGACAAAAATATGCATTTTTATTAAATAAGTAACTTTATGTTTAAGCATTTCGTATGAAGATACACTTATTTAAATATCAATTATCTGTTATCTATTTATACACAAACATACACAGTGGACGATCTTATTCAGATTTTAATAAAATATTTATGCACGTTATCATTTCTGTTTATAGACATACTTTTCGTTCCATGACTGAAGAGTGTTAACTTTTAAAATTTGAAAGAAATAGATGTATATCTATGCATATTATTACCGTTTAAGACAACTGACTTTTGAGCCTAATTTTGCTTTTTGTTGTCAAGAAACAAATGTGAGGAAATCAAATAGTTAAACGCGTTTTTCCAGATGTGTTTTTTGATGACTGCATAGTGTTAACTTTTAAGATTTGAATGAGATCGAAGTATATCCTTTTTTTTCTTTTGTAACCAAGAAACAAGAGCAAGGAAATAACATAATTAAATACGTTTTTCCTGATGTGCTTTTGATGATTGCATATTGTTTATTTTTAAGATTTGAATAAAAATTGAAGTATATACTAAATTTTCCGTTTGTAATCAAGAAGCAATTGTGAGAAAATCAAATAATTACATCAGTTTTTCTTGTTGTGCTTTTGATCGCATATTTTTAACTTCCCTTTGAGCAGCGATGGCTTAGGTGATAAATAGCTTATCTTGATGTGTTTTTGATGACTATATAGTGTTAGTTCCTAAGGAAATTCGAAGCAAATACTAAATTTTGCCTTTGTGACCATAAATTAAATGCGATATGGAAATCATGTAATTAATTGAGTTTTTCTGGTATGTTTTTGATGAGTGCATAGTGTTAATTTTTCTAAAAATTGGAAGCGTATGCTAAATCTTCTCTTTGTAACAGAGAAATAAAAGTAATACGGAAATAAAAAAAATAAGTGAGTTTTTCTGAAGTGTTTTTGATGACTGCATAGTGTTAATTTTTCTGGAAATTGGAAGCATATTCTAAATTTTCCCTTTGTAACCAAGAAAAAAATGCAATAAGGAAATCATATAATTATATGAGCTTTTCCTCATTGTGTCTGATGACTGCATAGTGTTAATTTTTCTAAAAATTGGAAGCGTATACTAAATCTTCCCTTTGTAACCAAGAAACAAAAGTAATGCGGAAATAAGAATATTAAGTGAGTTTTTCTGAAGTGTTTTTGATGACTGCATAGTGTTAACTTTTAAAAGAATTGGAAACATATTCTAAATTTTCCCTTTGAAACCAAGAAACAAATGCAATAAAGAAATCATATAATTATATGAGCTTTTCCGCATTGTGTTTTTGATAACTGCATGATTTTTATTTTTAAGGAAATCGGAAGCATATACTAAGTTTTCCCTTTGTAACCAAGAAGCAAATGCAACAAGGGAGAGCGAGATTGAGTTGCTAAATTTAAAAGGGAAAATTTCTTTTCGAGGAATTAGCAAAGTGAAGAAGCAATTACTTTATTTTGACTGACCAACATTTCTTAAATTGCTATCTTGTCTCGTGAATCTGGATGAATTTATGTAGTGCTGCTGCAATTTTAATTAAATATTAGAATTAAATGAAATTTATATTACCAGAAATTTTTTTCTGAACATTAGAAATATTTCGACGCAATCCATTAAAACATACACTCATTAGAATATTTAAAATTAATGAAATCGAACGTAATATCTTACGATCATCTTCTGATTTTTATTATAATTATTAATTTTAAACTATATAGTTCATCATCTGTATCAATGAGGTTTGAAAGTTAAACACTTTTATAAGAATTTAACATAAGGTGATTTGAAGGTAAAAACTTAATTAGAAATTCTAATTTTCGTTCAGGATTCATGTGGTTATGAATTAAGCTTTCTATCTACTGATATTTAAAGCATGCAAACATGTGAAATATTTTTTTAAGGAAATAAATTAATTTCATAGCTCATGAGCAGTAAAGAACAGCTAATTCATCCAATAGTGAAAGACAGCAAAGCCGACCATCCAGAAATAATAGACAATGATAGGAAGGGTTTGGGGGGACACAATTTAAGGCCACCTGAATATAATAAAAGCAGTATTATAATTTTTATGAAAATAATAAATTACTCCTCTAGAAAAATGACATAATCAACATGGGGGGAGCCGCGAAGGCTCAGGGGATAGAGCGTTCGCCTTCCAATGAGGGGAACCGGGTTCGAATGCTGGCAATGGCTGGTTGATACGAATCCGCATACGGCTTGCACCGACCGCAGTGCTGACGCGAAATATCCTCAGTGGTAGACGGGTCATGGGTTAGAGTCTCTTTGCCATCAGACTAACCGAGGAAGGTTCTCGTGGACATCTTCTCCATGTAAGGTCAGTTTCATCAAAAAGTCCTCTACGAAGGCAAATTTCCCTCTATACTTGATCCAGAAGTTCCCTTGTCTTCTGGATTGGGTTCAAAATTACAATATTACGGAGTTGAACATTAGAAATAATGAACCCGAAAATTGGGTAGGCTTTTCCATGACGGATATAAAATAAAATATAAAAAACCATTATGGTGAATGATACAAAGGAAGATCCGACATATCAGCCAAACTTTTTTCAATGAAAATCAGTGCACCTATAATTAAGAGACTCATTAAATCAACAACACTATGATTCTGCGGATCAATTGAACAAATTAATCAGAAGGCAATGAGAAATGATTGATAAACGGATTAAATAATCTCCGAAAGAGAGAATGAATGAGTTATTAAATCAATAAATGAGAGAAAATAAGATAGATGATACGATAAATGAAATAACACAAAATCTAGCTTTTTCTCATTTATTGATTTACAAAATAATTTACAGACTGATTCTTTAATCTCTGTTTATTTATTAGCTTCAACAATTAACTGTAGATTCATTTAATTGTATTCATTGCTTATTCATCTACGAGCCGATCAGCAATATCAATCCCGATAGGCTGACCACCAACAGTGCCCATAGTAGTTAATGAGCTGCAATGGCTCAGAGGTTTAAATCTCAGCGATGAATTAGGCTGGTCGTTACGAATTCAGCTTTCAACTAGCATGGCCATATAATGATGAGGTAAAATATCATCATAGGTAGACGAATCATGGGTGAGAACTTAATTTCTGAATAAAATGCAATTTTTTTTTTAAATGATTGCTTATTTTTTAATACTTAATTGCAATAAATTTTTTGTTTCAATAATCTGTGTGAGTTTTATGAGATGGAATAAATGTTTAGTCTTAAAATGTATTTTGCCAAACAATAATTCGCATCTTGAAAGGAAATAAAAATTTTTTTTAGTTAATTTATTCATTAAAATATTTTTTCTTCTTCTTAAATTTCACATTACGAGTGCTCAATTTTGAAGTATCAATTATTATTTACTTCTTAAAGAAAATTGAAATCACCTTCGAAATTGTTACATACATACATGTTAATACGAAAAATATTTTTCTTTATATTAATATTAGTTCTATAGTTTCCTTTTTTAAAATAATGGGAAAAGAACACGCTTTTTTGTTATGGAATTAATCCAACTTGAACGTCATGAAATCTGCCCCCACTCCTGACACCCCATCAAAAAATTCCTGGCAAGCACTTCCGGGAATGTCGCTAAATTTTGTAGTCAATCACAATATGGAAATAATTCCTGCAGCAGATAAGCGCTCAGAAAATATTTATTTTATTAAAAATAACATTAACTGTTTGAAATTATCGCCTCGCACAATAAAATATAAAAAGTAGATGTAGCTTATCTCCGGAAATTTTGACGGTAAATTGCATCATAAAGAGCAGGAGATGATATTTCCCCCCATGTCTATTGAAAACACCATTCATTAACTTATATTAAGCGATCAATAAAATACAATTAAATATGAGATAAATCAGTAAATACTTAATAAATTAAACATTAGGAAGATTCACTTACAATTGTTTTGTACAAAATGTTATCTGAGAGAAATCTGGTTCGCGTGAGGGCTTTTTGAATGAATGAATAAAATTGTCACAGTACTATGGGGAGGAGTGATGTTGGAGGAAAACAATCCCACCAATGCGCATGAGCCATTAAAAAACTGGTTTGGTGTTTATATAATTCATTATTTATTATTTCCACTGGTATTTTAAATTTTAACTTTTAGTTTCTTTTTGATTAAAAGTTATGGATTATACAATTATACCGTAACTATATCTCCATGGCAAATGCATGCATGATGTCCATTGGCGTAGCGTCTGAGAGGTAGGGGGCAACGCGCTTCGCAAATAATTTTCCTAAACTTCGGAACTTTCTTAATGTTATTAATTTTTAAGAACTCTAAAACCTCCACTAGCTATTTTTTAATTTAAAAGCTCAAAAGCCTTAAAAAATTTTGACAGTTTATATATAATTGAACAAAATTATTTTATGATTATTATTTTTATGCAAAGGCTATCGTAAAAACTAGTCAATGATTATTTCTTTAAAGTTGTTACAATTCGAACTCAATGATACAAAATGTTCGAACAATCAAACAATTATTCATTGAAACAAAATTTAATTAATATTTATTTATTTTTTCCTTATAAATTACAATTGTAGGTAACGGTTATTTAACCCTCCTGGTGGCTCTTTCTTGAAATAGTTTTACTCTTAAAAGGGCGACTATATTTAACAGAGATGTACCTCAAATGGGCGAGGGTCAGACAAAGGGAATGCCTACCCCCTTTTTTCTGAAGAAGATGAAAAAGGCTGCGTCTTAGAGAAGAGTAAAATAAGGAGGCATTACAAAATGCTTTCAAAATATAAATTTTTTAAAGAGAAGAAGGAAGTTATTAATAAAATATTTTTTTTAAAAAATATAATAATTTTTAAAAAATATTAAAAATTATTTAAAAAAAATTAAAATTTAAACATATTTTAAAATTAAATTTTTTTAAACAATTATCAGTCCAAAATTTCATAAAATTCCTATTAAATTCAAAATAATCACTTTGTGAGTCTGATAGTTACCAAACTAAACCTGGTACCATTTCCTCTAACTACTTAAGAAAAATTATTAACAATAATATTATTGAAGAAGACTTTTCTTAGATCATCACTAATAACCAGCCTATTTTAACATTTATTAAACAAAATAACATCAATTCTATTGTGTCTTTTGATTTCCGAGATCTCGTCAATGGCATTCCTCTTTCTAAAGTAAAAGATGTTCTTTTGAGCTATTACTATGATTATAAAAATACCATTGGTTGCGATTTCGATTATTGGGTAATTCTAATTAGTATTTCTCTTTTTATTAATTATTTTTACAAGAGAGAAAATATGTTTTCTCATATAAGTGGTATACCACAGGGATCTAACTTTTCCTCACTTTTAGCTAACTTATTTGTACACTATAATGAAAAAAAGTTATGATCTTAAAATTAATTTTGTTTTTTTTAATTTATTGATGATTTAATTATCTTCAATTTTAAAAGTTATAGAATTTGGTTAAAAAATATTTACCGTGAGTAATAAATCATTCTCCGTAATCATGACGATAATATTAATTTTAATGAAATAAGAAAATATCTGCACTGTTGACTTATACGATGAAAGAAATGATTTTAAATTTAAGTTAAGTTTAAGCACAATATAAACTGCTGTTTGTAGAAAATGCAACACCATGAAGGAATCATCAGAATCAAATGAAATATTATTTTAATAATGGATATAGGATATTATGCAAATTAATAAAGTTTCAGAGCCATCGCGCGTGCGTGGCGCGCGCAGCGCCCTCTGAATTGATGCTGAAAGCGTATAAATAAAGTGCTGTAGCGGGACGTTGAAAATAGTCTATGATTATTTGTTAGTGGCAAACGTTTAGTGAGACCTGAGTATGCCTCCACGACGGAAGAATAAGAAATTCAAGCAACTTACGGAGTTTGAACGAGGGAGGATAATCGGCCTTCGAGAAGGAGGATTTTCCTATCGCGCAATAGCAGCTCGTATGCAGCGGAACAGTTCCACAGTGATGCGAGTTTGGAAGCAGTGGACCGACGAGCACCGAACAACTCGAAAAACAGGCACTGGACGACAGAAGGTGACGTCAGAGCGCGATGATCGACACCTGCTCCGCATGGCGGTGAATGATCGCACAGCTTCCTCCAGGCAGCTGGCAGCACATTGGTCTACTGCTACAGGTGTACAATTGTCGGCTTCGTCAATTCGTCGTCGTCTGCTGCGCCGTGGATTGCGTGCAAGGGTGCCATTATACAGGATTCCCCTCACGGCGGATCATCGACGGCTGCGTCGGCAGTGGGCTCTTGAGCACAGAGACTGGCGAGCTGATTGGCACCAAGTTGTCTTTTCAGATGAATCACGCTTCAATTTGTGGACCCATGATGGCCGTGTTCGTGTTAGACGTTATGCCGGTCAACGCTGCCTTCCTGAGTGTATTATTGAACGACATAGTGGTCGAACACCCGGAGTTATGGTCTGGGGTGCGATTTCGTATCATGGACGATCCAATTTGATACGAATTGAGGGTAATCTCAATAGCAACAGATACGTCCGTGAAGTGCTACAGCCCGAAGTCGTTCCTTTCCTTCAAGGCATCCCTGGAGCTATCTTTCAGCAGGATAATGCACGCCCACATGTTGCGCGGACTGTTAGAGACTTCTGTTCAGCACAACGCATGCAACTTCTTCCTTGGCCTGCTTATTCGCCGGATATGTCGCCTATTGAGCACGTGTGGGATATGGTTGGTCGGCGTCTCACTCGTGATCCGCGTCCTGCAGTTTCCAAAGACGAACTTTGGTTGCGCATACAAGCGATATGGAATTCTCTTCCTCAAGCAGATATTCAACATCTGTTTGACTCCATGCCACGTCGTATAGCAGCACTTATTGCAGCGCGTGGTGGCTGCACCAAATACTGATTTCGGACGCTTAATTTGTTTCTTTTGTTTTGAAAATTTCATCATTTATTTGTATCAGTACAAGTCGTTTCTGCATTAAATTTCATTTGATTCTGATGATTCTTTCATGGTGTTGCATTTTCTACAAACAGCAGTTTAGTTTTGGTTAGTTGTTATTACTATACTGCAGAGTATCTACCACTACAAAAATATAATTCCAATCCACTAGTATATAATACATTTTAACTCGCTTCTGAAATGGGGCACCTTTTCATAGGTGACGGTTGACATTGTCGATAGCTACCATCGCCCCAAAGCATAAAACATTGCTTCGTAATCATAGCATTTGCGGAGGGATACACCGGAAGTTTTCTAAACTTCTTCCGGATTGTTAACATTCCGTTAACTATTCATAAATAACGATAGAAATGTTTTAAATAAACAATCCCAAGAAACTGAAGCTGTAAGATATTGCCTGAATTAAAAACTTCCAAAAATACTCAAATAGTTAATAACAGTAGACATATTTCAAGAGCTTCAGTAAACAGGCGCCCATTTTCAAGACTTGCTAAACGTGAATGCGAAGAAACAAAAGTGATTTGAAATTTAAAAAAAATTGGGTATTTACTACATTCCTTATCAGTGCGACCTCTACATCGGACAAGCTAGAATCGCTTTAAAATTTAGTCCTAAGGAGCAAGAGAGATGTGTGCGTTATGAACGAAACATCATCATTTGATGCGCATTTCTGGAATCTTGGTCAAAAATTCAATTTCGATTCGGTCAAAATTATTTTTACCCCTGTCATATCTGCTCATCTTTATATCCTGTAATCTTGTCTTATTCATACGAATGCCACTCTTTTGTTGACGACATTAGTTTCCTACTACCTCTCCATGGCGCTCCTGATTTGCGCTTCTAGTCCACTGTGGTTTTTCTTGTTCTGTTTTTTATTTTTTTTCTCTCTCTCGGCTAATGTGGTTTCTCTAGTTTTGTTTATCCATTTTATTTTTTCATTTTTTTTGGTATTTTATGTTTTTTAAAATTTCAAATCACTTTTGTTTCTTTTCTTTCACGTCAGGCAAATCTTAAAAATGGGCGAGTATTTTCGAAGCGCTGAAAACATGTCGACTGTTATTTCCCATTTGTATATTTTTAAAGGTAATGAATGAAATGCTTGTTTCACAAAATAAAGCCATTTGAATTAATTGCAACATTAAGTAATTAGTTAATATTTTATTCATCATGTATTTGTACCTGTAATAATGATAAGTGGACAGTTAAATAAGTAAGTAATGATAAGTGAACAATTAAATAAATAAGTAATGATAAGTGAACAGTTAAGAAATGATTACAATTAAACGTAATTGCTATTTCGGAACTTCAAATACTCTAAATGTAATCACGTTTCTTATCATTAGAAACAGCCTTAAAAAAGAAATTCTTATCAAATTTTATCGTGATATTGATGGCCTTTCTTTACGAACAAAAGTGTTATAAAAACATGATAAGCTTGAAAAAAAATGAAAACAAATCGATATGAATGAAAATGGCATAAGTACAGTGACAAGGTACAAATACATAATGGCATAGATTTTAACTAAATGCTGCAATATTTTTTTCGATTAAATTAAACGCTTCAAAATAAATTGTTATGACCTATTGCAATTTTTGAAGGAGAATAATTTTCTATTTTTTTCTTAAAAAAAAGATAAATAAAACAACCCGAAGACCAGACTTTTAAAAAAAAAAAAAAGAAAATCGTAGCATAATGTAACTTACGCCATTTTTCCTATCTTTGAATGTTACTTACACAACTTCAAGAGATACAAGCTTGTAATTACAATTTGATTCTTATACTAATTTTGAAGAGCAGCAGTGGTGAACTTGATTTGACAGGGGAACAAACATGCTGATTTCCATAATTGTATCTTTAATTTCTATTCCATTTGGTATGTAGAATTATTATTTTATATTCTTACTCCACAAATTTTCAATTTATCTCAGTGAAAACTGAAAAGGATTTTTCAATTAATGTTTTTCCTTTAGTTTTTAAAATTGTTATGACCCACCATGTTTTTCAAATAACTGAATTTATGAATTTTTTGAAACATAATTAGCTATTTCGCATTTATTTATTTATTGAAGTTGCAGTTTAATGAATGTATTTCTTTCTTTTTTTTTATTTCACTGACTGTAACCTGCATAATTTCAAGAGAGACAAGTCTGTAGTTACAATTTGCCTATAATTATTAATTTGAGAGTAGCATTTGTGAGTTTGATGTTAGTTGGAACACACAGTGCTGATTTCAATAATCGTATCTTTAATCACTGTTTTTTTGCGTGCAGAATTTTTAATTTTGTTTTTCACTTCTTAATATTTATCAAAACTTTACTGCATATCACAGAGAAAATTGCAACGATTTTTTATATAAAACTAAATGCACTTGAATGAATTCAAATAGTTCTATTAGTTCTATGTCACATTTTGAAAAAAAAAAATAATGTTAGCCTTTTCCTCCCTTTTNCCAGTGATGCTTGAGTTCGGTGATCTGCTGGGAACCGTGTCTTAACGATCAGTCCACTGCGGGACATATATAAAAGTAGTGAAACTACTGTAGTTTCAACGGGTTTTCGTAGTTTGTAGTGTAGTGTGATACTTTTCATAAGAAGTAGTGTAATGCAAAACTACAATAACTTGTAGAGATTTCTGACAAATACTTTTATCGTAAGCATAGTAAAGAAACAGGGTTCAATCGCCACTAATGTTTCGTATCTGATTAGTACTCATCTTCGTGGATCTGTCAACGGATTCATCGAGAATTCCCTGGTGGCCGAGCGTTAATAAGAATTACGCCTGATACTTCAAAGCAGTAAGTTTATATCATTAATTCAGACAGTATAATGACTAACACATAAACTAGACATTGCGAATAATGGCTGGTATATCATTTTGGCCATACCTTCAAATGCAAATGTATGAACTTAATGAAACTGTAATAAAAGCACTTGAGGTCAATTCAGTTGAAGTAAACCTATGTTCTTTGTAATTTTCAACGCACGCTATTTCTTGGAGGAATTACAAAAACATTATATACTTAACGAAATTGTAAATTTTAAGCAATTTATTTACCAGTATTTCTGAAATTCTGTTTTCGCTGTCGAGATATTAAGGGTAAAAAGAACAAGAAATGGTTTAGATTAACAAAGTGATGGCTCTTGTGAAAAAGATTTAATATTTCTTAGCAATTCTCTCTTTCTAAATAAGCCGATTTTTATTCAAAACTATTTTGAACATGGGTGTAAATTAAGTTCTTCAACAAAGTGAGTCTCAGAAAAGTATACACTACATTACGAAAGTAGTTTGTAGTTACATTTTAAAAAAAAGTAGTTGAAGTTAAGCACCTTTAAAATTGACTACACTGCGAACGCTACTTGTAGTCACAGAATTTAAAAAAAAAAAAAAAATTACTGAAGTTTACTACCTTTAACCCTTTCGCGCCGACTGTCACGAATACGTGCCAGCATAACACCGAATCAATCAGTGTAAAAAGATAAAACTGGTAATCAAAGTAATTCCATAGCAGTTTATTTGAGGGCTGGGTTATAATTGTTTGATTTATTTAATTCACCATTACTTTAGTTCAAAAAAAAGTAATTAGTTATACTTTTAACTAACATTGATTATATATATGATTAAACTAACAATAATTAAAGTGAAAGCAAAGTAAGTCTGTCAAATTAGCAATTCCTACATTTAAGTTACCTTTTTTTATTTATTTGCATCCTGATTCTGATTTTGTACGAATGCTTTTGTGAATCACCCGTCCCCAAGGGGTTAAAGTTGACTGCATTTCGTAAGCAGTTTGAATTCACTCATTTTTAAAAAAAGTAGTTGAATTTAACTTCATTTTTGTAATAAAATAGTTAAGTATGAAAAAAACTGTCTTTTCGACCGCTGGTCAACTACAGAGGGTTAATTTATTTAAAAATTTAATTAAAAATCGTATTAAGAATGAAAACAAAATAACTGTTTTCCTGGCGTAAATGAGAAAATCGTTATATTCAGAATGTATTTCATTTTTATAAGTGGTATTTCAAAATGTAATTCTTCTTAAAGTATTAAATCTGGTAATGAAACAAAAAGTTATTCAAGATCATTCGTTTTTCTTCCGTAACTTTTTGACTTTTGAGAAGTTGATAACTCTGTAATAAACATTCAATCATAAACTTTTCCATTTTTTTAATCTCATTGCAAACTTTGAATGACATTGACAGAGACGAGCCAGTTTCCTTATCATATTCAATTAAACATAACGTCATAGTTTGAAGTTATTTAGCTAATCCGGATTTGAATTTCGCATTTAATATAAAGTGCATTAACAATTTTTGAACTTTGAATTTTGATTATGTTAATTGCGTACGTGCAGTTCAAGAAGAAGAAGATCACTGATGCCCAGATGCAAGACCTCTGACGTCAGCGCCAGCTGATCGTTTATAAGCAAAATGGCGTGTTGAAATTAAGCTTCTTCACGCAAGTTAGAATGTTAATTATCATGAATTTAATTAAATACAGTTAATTAAATACAATATATAGTGAAAGGATTTAAATCTTTGTGAAAGTATCTTGTGAAAGAATATAGAATATGTCATTTAAATGAAACGATACTTGACGAGCTTGTCTTACTCGAAATAGAATGGAAATAACAGTTCTAACATAAGCAAATTCCACGTTTCAACAACCAATCAGGATCGAGATTCACACACTACGTCACTTGCAGGTATCCATCACTAGGAATTTTATTTTCCGTTATCGTTGGCATGTAAATTTGCGTTCTCATAACTATTTTATTAAGTATATTCTGATACTATTTCTGTTTGAAAAATGTCACAGTCGTTTGAAAAAGTGATATTTTTAAATCATATTTTGTTCCATTATTCACCCTTTTCTTCAAAAGGATTTTATAAGAAAGATCGTATTTGTTCAATTTTCACTCGAATTGAAATCGACGAAGACCTTACTAAAAGTCAGCAAAAAGAAATTTCACTGATTACGCTTTCATTTAACAAGAATTTCAGAATCAGCCATACCACTTTTAAGAAAGACTTTTGAAAAAAGGCGTTTTATAAGACCATTTCCACTGAATAACTTTTTGGTATTCGTAAAATCAATACCGTGATTAAAATCTCTGCATACAAACACAATGTTAATCTTAGGAAACTGAAGACTGAAAATATACTTGTCAATAGATATAAGTCCCGTAGTGGACAGATCGTAAAGACACGATTTCCAGTAGAACACCAAAGTCAAGCATCACTGGCTGCGGTCAGTAAGCAGGTAGGCGACAACTTTGATCAGCTTGCGTAGGGATCGAGGTTGAGCGGTATCGGTCCTCGTTAAACTGTTCTACAGTAAAGTGCTCGATTTTGCGACTTTCAAAATAAGCGTAGACAGAGCTGGCGTTAGATATGCTAAACTTAACCTAACAGTCATGAGTAACAGTTGCAAACTCACAGCAGTTATAAAAATAGCATATTATTCGCAAGAAAAGCATAATTTGATAGTACGACTGAGCCATCGAAAAACAGTAAAAGTGATGAACACTGATCACTCCATCACCTTTATTTTTTATATTTTTTTTGCAGAAATTCTTTACTGGATTAAGTGGATTGTTGCATATATAGCTGTTCGGATATACAATGCAAAACATCGTAGAAGATTTGATTTGTATAAACCAACTGCAATTGATGATCCTGAAAAAGTGGGTTTTCTTGTTCCCCAATTAGAAACTGAACTAGAATCACCTCAATCGGAGACCAATTTACTAGAGGTAAGAACCTATAGAGTTTTTATACGGGCAGTTCTAAAAATATGGGAGCACAATACAAGTCTAAACTCTAGGCTTTAAGTCTAGTTTTAAGCTTTGGAAGGAAATTAATAATTCTCTCTAATAGCAAGAGTTAACACAAATTATGGTATAAGTTCATTTTAAATAACTTAAATGTTTTTTTCCAACTATAATTTTCAATTATGAACATTCACGGTGTTGACTGAGCCAATGTTAATATTTATAATTTTAGCCTAAAGTATTTTTTTAAATTTATTTTATGACCGCCATTGAACAACCGACCCAATTTTTGGGTTTACGACTACTAATGCTCAACGCCGTAGCCTTGTAATTTTGAACCAATCCAGAAGACAAGGAAACTCCTGGATCAGTAATCCCAGAGGTATTGATTTGTTGTGGGAACATGGAGGACTTTGAGACTCGAAAGATTTAGCGTGCATCATTCACCATTTACTACACGGGAGCCTAAAGTATTAAGGTGTTCATGATATAAAGCATCCTATGGTGGTTAAAGCGGTCTACTGCGAACCCAGAAGTCCTTGGTTCGTTTCCTGCCAGCAGCCATTTAACAACTCTTTCAAGCACACTCTCCTCCGTTTTGATTACCAAACCTCGAACACGCAACGCCTCTGCCTCATTTTTCAACAGATTTACAATAACAAGGGCCGAACTGCAGTGGAATGGTGTCTTCTCCCCACATACAAATATATATATATATATATATATATATCACTAAAATCATCACAGTCTTTATCTCCTAATCGGAGCTGTTCTTAACATCAATCTTAAAGCCTACAGCCATGTTGAACCAATAAGCAGTAAATAATATAAACAATAAACGTCTAAATTAAAGTAATATCCAATGAGAAAATGGGTCTTGCTCTAGATTTTTCATATCCGCTCTCTTTTCGACTTTATACCATAGTCACAAATAAAGAATTGTAACTGTTATAAAAATCAGGTTAACATAAGCACTAGTGAAAAAGCAGCATATCATGATCAAATAAAAAAATAGTAGAATATAGTTTTGGAGCTTCTTGGAGTTGATTTTTTATCCAGACTGAGTTTTTTCTTTATAAATAAGGAATCTGAAGGAGGAAAAAAGTTTGTGACATATTAGGAAACGTATATTATTTGAAATTAAAAACCATTCCAGTCCATTGGACCGTTAAAATAAAAAATACTGCAGCTTTTCAAACCTAAATGTGTTTATTAAAAAAAAAAACTTATGATCAACGTTAGTTATCTAACGTCTAAGAGATAACGTCCAGTTATCTCAATAAAAAAAAAAAATAAATAAATAATAATTAAAATAACTTATAACCGACTAGTGATCTTATAATGTGACTGCAATTTTTTACTATATTTGTTCCATAATGTTTTTATGAAATATTTTTGAAACAAATTGTCATTATCGTTTGCGTGAACAATTGTTTTTGCATAATCTGCGCTTTTCATCGTTTTTTTCTTGTTGCAATACCCTTTTTTTTTGGGGGGGGGGGGGGAAATTTTAAAGATAATAGAGAGGTTTAGCACTTTCACATAGCATCCCGCACGTCCATGTACAGCGCGTAAAATAAAAAATATACTTGAATAACTTTTGATCTAATGATTCGAAATATACGTTTCAGGACTCAATCTTAATGGTCCGAGGGGGTGACCTTAAAGCTGACGATATTTTAAGTTATGAAATCAAACATAAAAACGTAATTTCGTTAAATAAACATACTTTCTCCCCCGACGGATTCGGATTTCTGATCTTCAAAATACAGGCGGTATCTGCAATTTGGGAAATATGGTCTCAATAGTTTGGTCAGGAGGACGATCCAAAGTTTGGATCCCTTCATGTTAATTTTACTTAATGCAAATTTTGCCACATCTCGAAAACTTTTTAAGCGAATTGATACATTTTTTGCACACGATTATAAAATTCCTCTGTCCAAGATAATTTCATGCAAAATATAACTTTTGAAAAATATTTGCTATTTTCCATTATTTTATTAAATAATAGTCGAAAACAGTATGAATTGCAAGGTAAATAATTTATTACATCATTCTAAAGAAGGTAATTTTGTATGGCAAAATACAAAACTCGTGTGTAATCGGTCGAACTCAGAAATCAAATTTTAAAATTAAAATTTTTTGTTGTTGCATTTTTGCAAGCAGATTTACAGTTGCTGTAAAGAATGTATTATAATATTAACGTTTGTTTAATTTTTATCACCAGTTCTAAAAATTTGTATAACTTGTTGGGATCCTCGTTTCAAGATCACGTATCTTTTTCAGTCTGCGGATGAAGTACTGTTCTATGGAATAAATTCGAAGGCAGAATGTGCTCTGGTCCGCATCACAAGAGGCTGCAATCAAGAAGCCGAAGCCTGGATCTATTTGAAATTAGCTGATGGCACGACTTATCATCTTGCCGAACACGTCAACTATCAACAACCCTTTGAGGGAAAATGCCTGATGTTTTCTTGTGGGAACTTACAAATGCATTATTTGGCGCCTATGAGGAGATGGAGAATACAGTACAGTGGTTCATTAATGTAAGTAATTTAATATTTTTTTAAATCATTTTTAAGCAATTTTTCATCTTAAAATTTAAATATGCTACTGAATTACGTTATGTAGTTGCAACAGATTAAATTGTAAAAAAATTAATTAATTTCCAGACAGACTGATATGAAATTACTGCTGCTTTTAAAGGCCCTCAATTCTTTCATTGCAACGAACGAGATAACCTGTCTTCCAGGAATATTCGCTCTATTGTTATATTAGTGAATATGGTGATTAATTAATAAAATAAACAAGTTTCAAACGAATTTGGGTTTTGTTTCAATTTTAGAGCTGGGGGGGGGACTCTAAGAGCAGAGGGTGGAACAAAGGTACTCCTTTGCCGCAATGAAAGTGCTGAAGTCACTATCATGGTCTAAAAACTTGTAAGTTTAGACGGAACCTTTCCCAGAATTAAAGGACAACTAGGAGGCTTCGCCTCCTGCTCGCTGACGCTCGCCAACACCCGGAGCTGCTTTCGCAGTTCATTTCGGATTGCTTCACAATCCGACGCTCGCTTTGCTCGCTCATTGGATACGTTCTTAACGTCTAGCTTTTGTATACCTTTTTGAACACTGAAGCTCCGAAAACTTTTCACTGTAAAAAATTCTAAACCTGTGCATTTCAATATTAATTTGAAATTGCAAACAGTTCACATATTTTTCTTAATCACACTATTCTAAATTTCAGTTGTTGAGAATAGTAAATGTTGTAAGTTTTGTTTTAAAGTCTTTCCCACCCGAGGGCTAAAACCATGTGTTGTAAAACAATATGAAATANAATAAACAAGTTTCAAACGAATTTGAGTTTTGTTTCAATGTTAGAGCTGGGGGGGGGAACTCTAAGCGTAGAGGGTGGAACAAAGTGCTACTTTGCCGGGATGAAAGTGCTAAAGTCACTCTCATGGTCTAAAAACTTGTATGTATAGACGGAACCTTTCCCAGAATTAAAGGACAATTTTGCCGTATTTACAGGAGAAGATTTTATAGTGGTAAGGAAAAATTATATCGAAGAATCAGCTTTTCAAAGAATATATTTTATGAAATTTTTCTCCGTTGCTAGGCATCCCAAATTCCATGATTGTTAGGCAACGGACTTGCTCGAGGATAAATTTTTCCATAGTAGTATAAAGTGTTTCCTTGTTAGTGATATAGGCTATAAAGATGATTTTAGTAAATTTACAAAATAATTTCACTCTCAAAACAATTTAAAATTTAGTTGAAAAGTTTAATCATCAGATTTTGGAAATTACAATACTCACGCTTATTATACTTTTAATTTATTTCATGCCAATTAATTTTTAAAGTACCTAACACTAGGGGTTATGTGCTTCTTTATTTAACATAATTAGAAGCTAAAGAAAGGGAAAAGGGGAGGGAGAGAAAATTAGCGTAAGTGAAAGGTTGAGAAATATGAAACTAAATTACGTCAACCTGTTTTGTCCTGAATTTATATATTGAAATGATACAAGAAGTGGTTTTATTGAAAAAGTGGTATAATATATTATCGAAATTAATTGGTTTTTCTACTATTAGGGCATTCAAAAAGTCTTTGATAGATCAAAAAGTACTTGCTCCTTATAATTCTAAATCTAATCAGAAATAACTAAATCATTGTGGTATCTGAGAATCTTTTAATTCACCCAGATAAATGAAAATAATGAAAAAAGTTTCCCACCACAATGAATGTCTTTGAAAAAAGGAAATGTCCTAAATATATGACGCTGGGCGTTAACCGGTTAATACATAGTTAAACATGAAAACATAATTAAAATTTAAAATGACTGGAAACTATTGATATAGAGATTTACTAAGTTATATTACTAAATCAAGTGAAATTATTTATATTTATTTCTCTTATTTTAGGCGAAAATCTGAAAATAAAGAATTACCTGAAGGAAAGACTTTTGTGAAATTCGTGTTTTTGTAAGCAAATTATTGTGTTTCCTTTTGTGTTTTTAAAAACTATACTTCAGATAATATATTTTTTCTTAAAATGTAAGGACTATTTAAAATTTTAGTCTTAAGCTCAAAGGAATTAGCTTTTTGAGATAAAGTATTTCTAAGTATTTATTTATTTATTATTTTTTAAAAATTTTATCAATTGCAGTATTTATCAATTGTTCGGTTAGTATAGAATCATTTATTTTAAAGTCCGGAAAACCGATAAAGGTTTTTCGACGGGTATTCCAGTTTTTACATTAAAGACTATTATTCATGATCGTCAAAAAATTGAGGAACATGCTAAAAGATAGCCTGACTGTGGCTCTTTGTGTAAACTCTGATGGAAGTGAAAAGATCACTCCTTTAGTAATAGGAAAATCAAAAAATTCTAGATGTCTAAAGAACATCAAAATGCTTCCGCTGGATTACGACGACAATAAGAATGTGTGGATGACGACCGAAATTTTTACTAGATGGCTGAAAAAACTAGACAATCTTATGAAGAAGCTAAAACGAAAAATTTTGCTATTTATCGACCAATGTCCAGCTCACCAATCGATAATAATTTTTTGGAGAATGTTGAATCGATAATAATTTTTTGGAAAAGTTTACTTTTTTCCTGCAAACTGCACAAATGTGCTTCAGCCATTAGATTTGGCCGTGATTGGGAATCTAAAATTGCTTATAGAGCGCAGTTAGTTCAACTTGCCATTCGAAGCATTCAGTCTAATCCGAACAGTCTAATCCCAAGAAAATAAGTGTTCTCCAAGCAATGAATATGACTACGTTGGCATGGTCTCAGGTAACAAAGACAGCAATAAAGAACTGTTTTATAAAAGCCGGATTTGCCCATCGAACATCCGATGATAATGGGGGTGATGACGTAAGCGATGACGATACAATAATCAATGATGAGGATTGGCAACAGAGACAACTTTTGATGAGATTGCGATGAGAATGTAGTAACGTCAGCGATTTGTACTGATCTGTCAAGATGCTGTGGCCAAGAAGTTGTTCTGCCATCTTTTCAAGAATTCCATTGAAACACTAAGAACTTATTTTCTTTACCACAATACCGGCGAAAAAACTTTTCAGACCTTGATTCTTTGCACAAGTCATTAATTACAGCTCAACGTCAATCATCACATCAAACAACTGTCGATAGTCTTTTCTGTAAACTTAACGTGAAATGATTAAAGTGAAGAAAAATAAAAAAACAAATTTGGAGTATCAAAAAAAAAATAATAAATGAATAAATAAATAAAAGTAACGTACATTCAAATTGCTTACTGTAATTTTTTTTTCTATGGTTAGTTGTTTGTTTTGCTTTGTCTGATTTAGAAATTTATGTAAATCACCAAGTTAAACATTGAATTTAACTGAAAACAGAGTTTAGCTTCTAGTTTTGGAAGTAAAAATCGATTATACGACGTTATCGTATATACGATGTTTTTCGGTGGTCCCTTCGGCGTCGTATAAACGATGCTCCAATGTTGTTGGTAGGCCTGCATGCCACGATTTAGCAGCCAATCATGATTGACATCTACACGTGACGTTTCTTGTAGGTACCTAACTGTAATGACATATTGTTTTTTATTGGAATCTCACACAATCTCAGATTTTAAGTGTTTATTCTTTCGCATTTTACATTGCGCCTAAATTTATGATTTTTTTTTCTCGAAATTGAAAAAAAATATCTTATATATAAAATATTTTTAGTAAATTTTAAGTTGAATTTCTGATAATTATCTTATAAATGCGGAAAACGTAGCGGAAAAATATGTGATTAATATGGCAAACAAAATATAGTGATATATCAATGAGTCGTTATGTTTCTTTAAATTTATAATTCATTTACAATTCCAAGGTGGAATGCTTCATCTGACGTCTATGATATTTCTGATGTTTCAAGCAACACAACCGGTTTTACCAGTGCCATTGCAAGAGCCGAATGGGATTCAGTATTACAACCTCCAGTTCAAAAGTAAGTTATTCGATTTTTGGCCTATGACTTTTGCTACTATTTGAAACTAAATTTAAAGCTAATAAAGCATATATTAACTCTTTTATTGCATTATTAACGTTGGCCGGACTATGTAGTGGTCAGACAGCTGACCTCACGTCAGGAAAGTTCTGGATTTGAATCCCGGACAAGGCATGGGTGTTCTTTCACTCTCTGAACTATCTGCTGCTACTGTGGGAATAACGTTGACCCACTTAATGTTTTGTCCCTGAATTTGAAATGTCTAACAAATCTGCCTAACTGCTACCTGAATGACGAGAGTCAATCGGGTGGGCATTGGAAAAAAAAACATATTGGGATGATGGTTTTTCTCAAGTTGCAACAGAGTATAGTTTTACATTTCTAGTTGTGTATTTTAAACATTTGTTGAGTTAAGGTTGCCTAACACTGAACCGGAAAAAGTTAAAAGACTTTTTCTGATTGTATAATTTGCTATTCGAAGTTTAAATCATTATTTCTTCTACTAATCACAAGCATTTTTTCTCCTCGTCAAGTGTTCATCGATGAAGAAATATAGGTTCTTTGTTGTTGTTGTCTTTTAAACTTTGAAACGCAGTGTACTGATAACGTTTTAGCATTTTTTTCCCAACTGATCGATGTTTATTTATATTTTTTTTATCTACACTAAAAGTAACCTTGACTAGAAAGAAAGACACGTTTGATAGAAGCTGTCAGAAGTGGAAATTGTTTGGAGATAAATGAAATTGAAGCTGTAAATATATTTGATAACAATTAAGTGATTCTTCTCGCTTTTCATCGAGTTTTGATAGCGTTTTTTATCTGCAATCAAGCATGCTACAATTCTTTGAAGAAATTGGAACTGATGAAAGATGTATAATACTGACTTAATTGATAAATTTAAAGAAAAATAGCAACATTTTTTTTGACTTAGAAAAGTTTTCCTTTTTAATCATAGTTTGAATACGATGCAATTATTTTTACTAATTGTAATTCTTTTAAAACTTTGTTCCAATCCTCTCGTGATGAGGCTTTTAAAATGTTGGCAAAATTGCCAAAAATTCCGTAAGATTTAGTTTTTAAATGTCTACCACTCATTAAAATATTTCGCAAAAAGTGTAGTAGTTGGCAGCTCTCGTAATTTAACCATTTCTCCAATCATTTCTTCATAACAGAAGTTACTTTTTTTCAAAAAGTACATTAAATTTAAACATTTAATTATATATATATATACAGTCGACTGTATATATATAGATATATACAGTCGGACCCCGATTTAACGAATTCATCGGGACCTTAAATTTTATTCGTTAAATCGGGGTCATTTGTAAAATCGGGATTTAAAAAAAAAACTTTTTGGTACATATGTATTATTAAAAATTACTAG